CCTTTCTCGGGTGGGGGCGGGATTGTTTCTCGGGGTGCTGGACCACGGGCCCCACGCCGCTTGCGTTTCTCTGCCTGTCAGGCGCCCGGTGTGCCTGGCAGCAGGCACAGCTTCAGGAAGAAGCTGCCTGGTGCTTGTCCCCTGCCTCCCCCCCCTCCCAGGCAGCAGAGGCCTCCCCAGGAAGGGCCGCGTGGCTGCAGGAGGGGAGCAGTGGGCCTGGCCGGGCAGCGTGGCACATGTGGCGGAGCCTTGCTGGTGGCAGCAGCCCTGGACCGGGCGGCAGGTGACACGGACACCCGTTGCGGTCAGGCATCCCAGCAGATCCCCTCCACAAAGCCTGGCTAGCTCTCCAGGCCAGACGCGCCTGCAGAGCACGCTGGGCCGAGGCGCTGTCCACCACCAGGGCAGCCGCGTAGCCTGGAGGCCATGCCCCTTGGCTCAAGCACCCACAGGCCTCGGCCTCAGCCCGCCTGACTTCGGGGATTCAGTTCCAGCCAGGCTGGGTGGTAGGAGCAAGCGAGAACACCCTTCCAGAAAGGAACGTTCCAGCGTGGAGCCGAGCAGGGGCAGCCCAGCCGGAGGCTTGTGACTTGAGCAGACCGTCTCCAGGGGGCTGGGCATGGGGGCAGGGAGAGTAGGAAAAGAAACCTAATTATGCAAATTTTGATCTTAAAGCTTTATTCGTGTGTTTCCTGGCAGGCTGTTCTTTAATCTCAAGAGCAAGATTGCTCAGAATTACCATATATTCCAGTTAATTGCATTAAAATTATAGCAAAGGTTGTTTTTGCTATAATCAAGAGTGATTTTGATTAATACTTAGGAAATCAAATGCCTCACCAGCAGAGGGAAGGAGAACAACCCCGGCCAGCCAGCCCTTCCCTCCCCTTCCACCAAGGCAAGACGAACAGACGCGTTTGAAAGGGTTCTCAATTTGAAATCCTTTGCTCCGATGGGTAGTCATTTGCACGGAGCATTGCTCAAAGACAGCGTCTGGTCTTGAGTGCGAAGGCTATGAGCGAGGAAGGCAGGGAGGGGCTCACGGAGGTCTCAGTGAGCACTCAGAGTGCTCAGCGGCGCGGGGCACGTGCCGTCTCCTCATGGCTGTCTGGGTCCAGGCAGAGAAGATGCAGAAGCTGGAGCAGGCAGGAGGCACGTATGAAGACCTTAGGACCCCGTGCAGATAGGAGGTGAAACAAAATGGGAATGAGCGAGGTTGCGGCCTGTGCCTGCCAGCCAGGGGACAGAGGTGGTGGCTGTGTGTGAGAAAGGGCTGCGCTCGCAGCAGGCTGTCTCTTGGCCTGACTGGCTTCCTTCGTGGGAAGGAAAAGGAGGTGTCAAGGACGCAACACCCAAATTTCCAGCCTGAGCAATAGCCACTGTCCCTTCCATTTGCTTAGATGGTAATGGCCTGAGGTGCGAAAGGAGAGTTTCTGCTGTGAGCCGCACAGAGGCAGCCTCGTGCAACAGCCAGGCCTCTGGAGTCACTCAGGGTGAGCGCTCTCACCCCAGGGCCGCAGTGCCGGGCTGCACCCCTCAGCCTCCTGTGCACCCCACTTTCATTGCTGAGCTTCACCCAGGCCACCTTGTAGCACATTTCACTGCTTTCAAACCATCGCACAATCCCAGCTGTCTTCAGCACTCGGCGGGAAGCCTGAACCCGCTAAGGACACGCTCCCAACACCCGTCCCTGCAACCACTAATGTGCTTTCCGTCTGTGGGCCCCAATATTTCATGTAAATGGAACTGCCCTCTGCGTGGGCTCTGGGCCGTGTTCTCTCTCACTTAGTGTGCAGTGGCGAAGGCGAGGGCACAGCCGCGAGGCGCCGGGGCAGCGCCCCCTTGCGCGGCTCGCACTGAGGCGCGCTCTGTCCATGTGTGTTCATCGACGGGCACGTCTGTTGCAGTGTCCGCACGCATGTGCCTGTGCTGCCCTGGGCCCGAGCCCTTTCCCTGGAGGTCCATCGTTCATGTGAGCTGGCAGCTCGTGCCGACACTGCCGGCCCCTGATTTCGTGGGCTTCCCCGGGCAAGGGGCCCTCTGATTTCGGGCAGGCCTGCACGGCCCGAGCCCCAGCATAGGCGACTGCTCTCACGGTTGAAACCTAACAGCCCCTCCGTGGCCTGGCCAAGACCAGGCCTCCCCACAGCTGGTGTTTCAGTAACCGCTCTTCATTGCCACTCGGGCACTTCTCCTAGGCTGACTTAAGCTCTGCGGGGCGGGGTCTCCATCTGTGAGCAAAACCCGAGCAGCCCACTGCCGGGCCCAAGGCTCCTGTGCTGTGGCGGCAGCATCCCAGGTGTCTGCAGGAGTTTTGCCTGCTTCAGGTGGATGGAAGTGCCTCACCAGGCTGCACGTTTCGCAGCTGGGTGCGGCCCCATGAGGCTCTCCAGCCCTCCTTGACCACAGGGAGCATCTCCCAGGGACTGGGTAGAGGCACATCAGGACCGGCTCCTGGCTCGGAACACTTCACTGAGCCTCCAGGAAAGTCTCATTCATTGCTCGGCCATGAGAGAGCCCGCAGAAGAACAGAGAGCTTGGCAGATGACCTGAGGGAAGATCCTAGAAATCTGATCTGTTGGTTCCGTGTGCACCAGGCGGTTTTCGTTCTCTTCTGCCAGGAGGCCTTCGTGGCTGTGCCCACGGGAACAAACCTACCCCTCAAGCCCCGCCTCAACCCAGCTGCCGCCCCGACACCACGGCTGGCCTTGCCCCAGTCTGGGTCCCGGCTTTTCTCTTGTCACGGGGCCAGTTGTTGGCTTAGGACCACTCAAGTCCATTGTGATCTCATCTTATTCATGTCTGCACAGACCTTTCCAGAGCAGGGCACGTTCATGGTGGTGCGTGGGCACGAGCTCTGGAGAGACACCATCAGCCCTCCCTGGTGCTGCGGGCAGATTTCTGCAGCAGAGCATTTCCCCCAAACCGTCAGAGCCAGCCTGTTGCGTGCCGATGACGGGATGGCGTGGGAGCGCAGTGGCCGTCCCTGGGCCAGCAGGGCCTGAGCCCCGTGGGAACCAGGCGCATTCTGGACTCACTGCTTGCATGTTTCGGTTTTCCCACCGACCTGCTTTTCCTTGCTTGTGACCAGTGACAGGCTTTAGCAAACCAAGTTCCTGAGGGAAGAGTTGATCCCACTGGCAGGCCCTCCAGGGTGCTGAAGGGGTTTGGGTGACTGAATGACTCTTCTCAAGTAAATAAAAGGCTGTGGGGTGGAAGTACCATCTGCCAGCTCGCCTAACACCCTGCAAGTACAATAACTGGAGACAGCTGCGCAGTGACGGGACAATGGTGTCACGCTCGCAAATGCCACGATGTAGCGAAGGCCTAAGGATACACTAGGAGTGAATTATTGGCCGTAACTGACGCCTCTGCCAGTCATATCACCCAATTAGAATATACATAAATAAAAGTCAGGCTCTCGTTTTAAACAACAATTGCGCCCTGGAAGTGTGGTGGTGTAAGGCAGCAGAGCAGGGAGTGGCAAGGCTCCTGGTGAGGCCGGCAGGCCTGACAAGCACAAAGCCAGACGCCTCTCTAGCCCAGGCTTGAGAGCCCAGACCTGCTCCCGTGTCTGGGAGCAGGGCATGCAGCCTCACGCGGTGTCTGCACAGCAGCGAACCCTGCACAAACCTCTGCTGACAGGTGAACAGACAGACGCACTCGGGGACCCCGCGTCGGTCTAATTGCTGCCGAAACGGATTGGCACACTTACAGCCTGAAAGCCACACTGACTCTCGTGCGTCTGAAGCCGGAAGGTGAACGAGCTGTAACACCAGGTCACCTGCCTTCTTGGCTCCAAGCCCCTTCCGCCCACACTGGCTCGGGCCCAGGCTTTTCCATTGTTCCCGTAAAGCCCAGGCCAACACCTACTGGTGTTGGTGGGAGCTGCCCTGGGGGATCTGGATGCTGTTAAGCTCTAGGCCTCCTCTTTTCGTCCAGGGAAGGAAGCTGTATGGGACGACGCAATGTGGCATAAACTGGCACACCTTTCCAGGTGGTGTGTGCTCAGCACTGTCGCCAGGAGCGTGGCCATCCCACTGGCCCCTGCAGTTCCTCCCGGCGTCCCACCCGCGGGCATCACCGACCCACTTTGTCACCATCGATGACTACACTTTCTAGCATTTTCTAGAAATGGGCCCTCACCCAGGTGCTCGTCCTTTGGGCCTGGCTGCTGTCATTCAGCTTTACCCGCACAAAGAGCATTCGCCATTTTCCCTCCTCTCCCTCAGTTGAACAGCACCACCTTCTACAAGACCTGAGTGCTACTGAACAATCCTCAATGAGGTGGCTTCATGGGACAAATGTGTGGGTGCCTGGCGGGCCTCCTCAGGTGCTGTGGCTGAGATAAGGTGCAGACCTCCTCACTGTGACGGTCTCTGGGAACAGCAGGCAGGACCGAGCCTCCTGCTGTCTCTCACAGGTGCCAGGACAACTCTGGGCCACACCTGACCACCTGTGTGACAGCCGCCTGGTCTGGGGGACGCATGGTGTTTCTCGAGCCAGGGCCCATGTCTGGTGTAACTGGGGGAGACGCATGGCTGACTAAGTTGCTGGGACTCTTACTTCGCGTAGTATTAAGTAGCTTTCTGATTTGTATTGCCCCTGGACTGGCTGATCAGGGTTTTATTTGGCCGAATCAAGCGGCCATAGGCTGGCTTTTGCTCCTTGAGCACATTCACCTAAACACACCAACCGTCCCTCTTCCCAGGTGCCACCCCAGCGGGCTCTCATGTCTGAGAATTTGCGCTGGAGAAGCAGCTGGGCTGGCTGCCCGCCTCAGTGGCAAGCTGTCCCGCCGGAGGCTCTGGCTGACCTGTGTCTTCCTGTGGCCTTCCCTGCTTGTCACACCTCCCCAGGTCACTGTGTGCAGCGCTAGCCCTAGGGGACACACCCCTTAATTTGCGCACCGGCTGTGAGCCCAAGAGTGACTGTTGGGAGAAGTCACAGTCTGCCCTTGGCTGCATCAGGGACGGGAGGGCCGGAAACCCACTTATGCCAACATGGCCGTCCACCCCAGCCCAGGAGAAAAATGGGCAGGAAAAGGTGAGGGGTGTGGCAGAAAGAAGAGCTCTCCGGGGTGCCGGGGCTAGCCATCACCCCAGGATCCAGGTGCCTAAAGGACTGTCATGGGCACCAAAGGCTCAGGGCCCATTTCTAGGTCAGCATCGAAGAGGTTTCCAGCAGCCTGACTCCTTCCAGTGAGTAACCTTCTGAGCAGCTGCCCGGACCCTCAACCTGGTGCTTCGGAGAGGGAGGATGTTCCCACCTGATCGGGCCAGCAATGGTGAGGTGACCCTCGGAGCGGAACGCCGGGATGGCACCTGGGGACAGGGGCTGCATTTTGTCTTGAGATGTGATCCGCACACCAGACTCGCCATTTTCAGGTCTTCAATCCAGCGCTTCCTGGTATACTCCCTAGCTGTGCAGCTACCAGTTCTAATTCTAGAATCTTTCCGCCACCCCAGAACCCTGTGCCCTTGGGCAGTGAGCCCTCTGGCCGCCAACCCCTGGCTTCAGCTCCATTTTTCTTTGGCTAAGGAGGTTCTGGCCCTCAGTGCTGACTTCCTCAGGCACCACAGTGCCCGCCCTCACCCCCTGCTTTGTGAGCAGCTGTCATGGCCCGTCCCCTTTCTGTGGGGAAAGCCAGCTTCAAGTCCTTCCATCAGCAAAGCGACTTAGGCCGTCTGTACACAATGAAAACTACCCCCCCCCTTCCGAATCAAGCTATTTGCGATGGGCCTACCGCACCAGCACGCTGCCCACACAGCGGACCGATGGCGCCGCAGCGCCTGCCCCCTCCGGCCCACTCAAGCGGCAGTGGCCTGAGACGCTTGTACCTGCCTTGCGGTGAAGCGCCGGCGTCAGCGTCCTCTCCCGGCCGCCTGAAGTTGACTCCTGACACAGTCAGAGCTCTGGCGGCAGGAGCTGTGTCCAGTCAGTGCCAAAGGGAAGCCAGTGCTCTGCTCCTGAGGTGGCTGGGAGCGCCCGCAGCACGACGACCACCTACGTAGAGGTGGAGAGCCGCGCCCATGAGGAGAGGGCTCTCAATCTAGATTGCGGCGACGAGCCCAAGCTGCGATCCCAGGGCATGGGGACGAGCCCCACTTAGCAAGTGAGGTTGGTGCCCGCCTCTGCAGGACGGGCCAGCTGGGACTGTGCCCCAGACACTGAGCGCAGAGCATGCCAGACACTTCCAGCAGCAGCAGGGCCTGAGTCCGCCTGGCGGGCTCGGGGCCCAGACACCCCCAGGTCCCAGCCGGCCGGTGGGGGGTGTCATGAGGTGCAGAGGCAGCCTGCTCGCTGAGCTCTCAGGCTCTGCTCCAAACGCGAGTTGCAGTTGTTCCTTGGTGTCCGAGGCGTTCAGGACCCCAGGGGTCCCCAAGTCCACAGATGCTCAGGTCCCTTCCAGTCAGCCCGACACGGGGGACCTAGCTGTCTGGAAAGAGAAAGCAGAGTCCAAGGGGGCCCCGGCACTTGAAGCTCAAGTGGCGCCAGCGAGACCAGGGCAGGCGCTCTGTCGAGGCCGGTAAAGGAGAGTCCCGGCGCCCTCAGTGGCTTTTCAGGCTTTTAATGCTGTCTGCAGCAGTTGTTGCTGGGCAAGCCTGCAGACTGGCAAGGCAGAGAGGCCAGGGGGCCGGGAGGCTGGCAGGTCTCCCAGCCCCAGCGAGTTTTCACTCCCTGGGCTCGCTCTGGCCTTCCCTTCCGGCCCCTCCTGGAGCCATTCTCCACTCCACTCTGCCGCACTCTGGCCTCTTCCCCCACCCTAATATGCTCGGCCTCCAGGTGTGTCCGCTCACGCTTGCCCACACCACGCTCCAGGAGCCCACGCTCCCAAGCGCCTCGTGCATCCGAGGCCGCAGGTGAGAGCCACGGACGGCGGCGGTGCAGAAGCCTGAGGGTCTCTGTTCACCCCACACCCTTGTCAATGGCACTTTGTTGAGGAAAGCGGGAGGTGCCACTGGCCAGGGAGCTGCCCAGCAGCGTGAGACCCCCAGGAAGTGTGGGCTCTTGAGCACCACAAGGCCCACATGGCTCAGGGTGCACTGGTGGTGTGCCTGTGGGCCCCATCGGAATGGGCAGCGCCTCTGTGGCCCACCAGTGCCCATGAAAAGGGCTAGGACTGCAAAATCTGAAAGTCAAAGATGTGTAGGGCAGGATTTGTTTCGGGTTTTTACCGAAAGCTGCTTCTACCTGCAAAGGAAAATGTAGACAAGAAGGGCCCTGGCCAGTGCGGCAGGCAGCGTGCCTGCACCAGGGGCCTCCTGGCGCGGCTTCTCTGAATCTCCCCGGCGAGGGTCTGGGGAGGCAGACCCAGTCCTGAAACCCCAGTAGGCAGCAGGCGCACTCCCTTCAGAGATGACGTTGCTCTTGGCATGAAACTCAGGTGCTGGCCATGCTGTGAGAACAGCGAGACTCTGGCCGTGTGGAGATGGCTTCGAGAATCACTGCAAACACGTGGGACCGGCCTCTTCGCTGCCAGGGCTGTGGCAGAAAGCACCGGGTCTGGGCCTGCTGCCAGCGGCTTGCCAAGAGCAGCACCGTCCAGGGGAACGCCGGGCAGCCCAGGGGACCCCAGCTGGCAGCTGTTGGCTGTGCCCAGCGTGGGGAGGGCGGGGGACCTTCATGTTGTAGGGTGCTGACTAGACCTGCTGAGGGGCGGTGGGCGGCTCTGTGCGCGGGCGGGCATCGAGCGGAGGCGGTGGACACCCTGGCGGGCTGGGCTTTCCGGTGCCGGAAGTTGGGGGTGGCCGATGAATCAGTCGCGAGAGGCTGGCGCAGCCGCACAGGGCTTGCTCGCTCCGGGGCAGATGTTTCCCGCGGGTGACTTGTCCTCACAGCCTCACCGTCCGCACCAGATCGCAGCCCGCGCTCCCGAGGCGCTCGCCCATCACAGTGGGTCAGGTGGCAGCGTGAGGGCCATTTGTGTTCCCTGCCCAAGGCACAAGCCCTCCCCGGGAAGGCCGACTGGGCTCTGTGCGTAGACCGGACAAAGGCCACTACCCCGCATGACCAGTGCAGCGGCGCTTTCTCCACCTGACGCCCAGCTTTGGGAAGTGGCGCCGGGGAGCGAGCTTGAGCCCCCGCCCAGTACTGAGGTGCAGGACTCGGCAGCCTCATGACTGCTTCCACTATTTGGGATACTTTCTGGGTTCACACCAGTGTTTGGGTATTTTGGTTCTGTGCCGCTGGCGCCGGGATTTCGATGGCAATGGCAGGTTCGACGTTGGCTTACGGGAGAAGACGCCGCCGGTCTTCCAGCGCATGCGCACAGCGTCTCTCCAGCTCTAATCTTTCAGTCTCAGTGGCGCATGGAAAAATGTTCTTTGTCGGCTATCAGGGAAATGCAGATCAAAGCCGCAGTGAGAACCCGTGATCGTATTGTCTCCGGCCTCTCACCAGCTCCGGGCGCCTGGCTGCTTCCCGCCTCTGGCACAGGCGGCCGCGTCTCCTGGGGGCGCACCCGAAAGTGGCTTTGGCGGGGCGTGATCGTGTAGTCTTCATTCTTTGCTTGAGAAGTCCCCACCTTTTCGCCATCGGGGCTGCACCGGTTCACAACCCCACCTTTGGGCCCGCACTATTTCTGGTCTGTTTCGTGGGCGCTGCTCTGGGGGCACGAGGGCATCTCCTGGTGCTTGTCATTTGCATTTCCCCAGGGATCATTTGTATGTCTTTGTAGCAGAAAGACCTAGCCATGCCCTCTATTTTGCAGTTCGGTTCTTGGGGTTTTTGCACCTTGCGTTGCAGGAGAGTACACACCTTGGCATGTTTCTCCCATTCTACAGATCGGCTTTTCATTTTATTGCTTGTTTCTTTCACTGTCCAGAATGTTTTCAGTTTTGCTTCTGTTGCTTATACTTGTGACCTCCTATTTAAAGAAAAAATGCCAGGATCAGTGTTAGTCAGTCCTCTGTTCCAGAAGATTTATGATTTTACATCTCACATTTAAATCTTCAATCCATTTTGAGTTCATTTCTCTTCCACGTGTAAGATGTAACCTTACAGTCAGGGAAACCCGCATCAGGCTATCAGCAGATTTCTCAGCAGAAGCCTGGTAGGCCATGACGGACGGGAATGGCATATTCAAAATGTTAAAAGAAAACTTCCGTAATCCACCACTCATGTACTTGTTTGTTCCGTCTCAGCGTTCACACACTGTGCTGTGCTTGGAAAGAATAATATGATTGTAATCTGCGGGGAACAGCGTGTGCGTCTGGAAGGAATGAATGATGGCCCAGTTCGACAGCAGCAGGGTCGGTCACCTGGGTGCACTTTGCAGACAGCTTCTCCTTCCTGCAGGCCCGCCTCACTCCTGTGTCGTCAGAGCTGCTGGTCTGGGAGCTGGGGCTGCGGGGCAGTATCTGGCCTGACAACAGGCGGAGCAGCCTTGGCGTCACCTGGGGTGCGGGAGGGGTGGTCTCGGCACCCGGGCTGTTTGGGCTCTGACCCTCCCTCCTAAGCGCCATTCACTGAAGAACACTCTCTGCAAAGCTGTACTTCATGCCCATGTAAATTGGTCCTTCCACCTGGTGGCTGTTTCTTTGGTTTTGTCGGGCATAAGTTGTTTCTGGAAGGAAGTCGAAACCTCGGCGTGGCTTCGGCTAATTTCGTCTGGAGGCGATACCCTCGTGACGCTCTCTTAAGAAAGATGACTTTTGCAAGACCATATTTCAGTATTATTTTGTTTCATGCAAAGAGAGAATTTTACAATGTTTTTTTTTTCCTGTGTTTTGTTTTCTAATATTTAGCATCCGGGGACTTTGGTGATGGCCTCAATGTGGAAGGTAGATTGAAAGAAGGTTTCACATTAAAGCGTGAGTAGTACATCAAATTAAACTATAAAAAGCAAACGACGGGAAGTGCATGGGACTATGGTGATGGCACACAGGTGACTCGGTGATGGGAAACCCACGGGGATTACAATTGAGATGAAAAAAAAAACGTACAAAATGATGTAAAAATAAGCTATTATATTATATATATATATAAAAAAACCAAACAACTATATGATGGATTTACCAGACCCACACAGAACTTACAGCTTGAAGGTTCATATTTAGCTGCAAGGTCACACACGTGTCATGTCAGCCAGTTGTGTCACTTTCCCACCACATCTGGCAAGAAGCCCTGTCCCCACTTGATTTATCACCAGGCCCCCCCCGCCCCCCCCTCAGCCCCTCTGATTGCCCCTCTGTCTGCCTCTCTGTCTGCATTCTGGACTTTCCCAGACCTGGATGCACATCAGTGTCACTGTTGGGCTGCTCTCACGCCCCGCCACCTCCCACTCTTTTTTTCCTGTCCTTCATCACCTCACATCACCCACAGTGCCCTCCTGTGCGCAGTCACTGGAGAAGTCACTCTTGGAGCGTATGCAGGCCTTTCGGGCGCGCCTTCCTGATGCGTGCGTGAGCACGGCCAGGCACGTTAGGCCATCGCTCTGAAGCACCACTCTTTAACTCTTGTAATAGCTTTCCTTTCAGAGTCTGTTAGTAATAATTATTTTTTCTTCAATCTATTTTATCTGATAATAGTATCTGCACAGGCCACTCTCCGTGGCTGACATCTGCGTAGTATCTGCCTCTGTCCATCCTTCATCTTCAGCCAGTTTCTATCTTTGCAGCTTGTTGCCTGAGCTGCTGATAATTCAGTGGTTGCCGTGCGGAAGTTTGCCCACCTCAGCTGTACCTGTCCCCATGGCTTACATTTCCGGTCCCTCTCTACCTCCAGCTGCAGGGACAGCTGACAGTGTATTCTTGACATTTACGAAAAGAAGCTATTGAGAACTCACACGTGCCATGTAGCTGACGTGGAAGGAGTTCTTATCTCTAGAGCAGTCTGGTTGATCCCAAAGACCTAACACTTGTAACAGTCACCACACTGAATAGAATTCTGTGTGCATGGCTTTCAGCCACATTCAGTTTGGGGGACACTCCCCTACGAAGCTGGGACCATAACTTTGCCCATCCCTGGGGAGTATCCGCCATGGTCATGCTGCCAGGCTGGCAGTGGCCGAACTCTGCAGGGCCACACCGACGCTGCGGGAGCCCTTGGGCCCCTGGCCGTGTCCCGCACACCTGGACTGAAGCTCTCGCCCCGCTGCCATGCCCTGGAGAAAATGAGCAGAACCCAGCCCTTTGAACCTTGTGCGTGTCTTGGCCATCCTGGGAGGGACTCTCCAGAGGCCTTAGGAGGGGCCTTGAGGAGCGAGCTAGGAGCACTGTGCTCGTGACACGAGCTCCCGGGTCATAAGGTGGCTGCTGTGCCTGGATGTAAATGTGCTCTCTCGCTGCCTGCTCCCCTCAGAGAGAAGGGACTATGTCACCACCACCACCAAGAGGCCAGGGACGACCAGAGCTCCTGCAAGGCCTGAAGGTAACACGGCCATCCTGAGGGGGCGCCAGGGCGGAGGGCCCCTGGGGGTGAGATACCTGTCCAGGTGAGATACCTGTCACGGGGCTAATTGTTTTCTCGTTTGTGCACGAAGATGACTTCAACCTGGCTGATGCCTTGGATGATGGAAACCACCGAGACGACGGCCCGAGGAAACCGAGTGGTGGAGGAGGAGGTGAGTGGTAGCTGGCAGGAAGCCCTGGCCGGTCCTGGATCTCTGGTAGCTGCCATAGTCCATGGTGCCACTCGCAGCCCGGCAGAGGTGGGGCCACGGGACAACCGTCAAACCACGGGTCGCAAACATTTGCTGTAAGGGCCCTTTAGCTACTGAGGACCTCAATAGCTTTGGCTTACGTGGGTCATCTCTACCACCAGGGGCCATCTTGGAGCCAAAGTCAAGAGCAAGCATTCGATTTTTTTGCGCACATTTGCAGATTTCTATCCTGTCTCTGGGAGGAGGAGCTGGACTCCATCTCCTTTGGCATCACTTGCTGTGACGTGTACTGGGGAGAGTCGATGAAGAGGCTGCCCCACACAGACAGCGCTGGCAAAGGCCACGCACACGCTCTGACGCGATGCCAGCGGTGTGAGCCTCGTGCAGGCTGCATGCAGCGAGGGGCGCAGCCGCCCCCGCCGGGAGTTCTGCTGTCTCACAGCGACGCCCGCGCAGCCCTCTTGCTCCTCAGGGCCTGCTTTCCCATCGAGGTTGGGGAGCACTGGGCCATCGCTCACCGGGAGGCAGAGCGGCTGGAAGATGGTCCAGCGTGGTACTGCCGCTGCAGGTGGCAGGACAAGTTCACATTTGCGAGCTTTGCCACCGTTCTCTCGAGAAAGATCTCCGTATTGGGAAGCTGCTAAGCTCACAGTAGTAGACGTGGATTTTTGAAATTCTGTTTTTTCTTGAACTCTCACCACTGGCCACGAATGCTGCCCGCGGCTTTCCTGGAAGTGGAAGCCCGATCGCAGCCACTGTCCGGAAACCTCTGCCACATGTCCTGGCCGCACGTTGTGGGGAACTGTCGTTTGTCCATCGCCGGCCATTCTTCCTGCTGACAGAGGCCTCCCCTGCCACAGGGAGTGAGCCAGCCTAGCAGCGATGCGGGCGCACGCATGCTCCGGGGTGATGCCGGCGCTCTCCACACACCTGCTGTCAGCACGCAGAATGTTCTAAAAATCAGTTTACTGTTTCCCTTGTGGGCTCTTCAGTGTGGTGTGAGAAACGACCCCATGCAAAGCGAGTGGAGAGCGCGCTCGCTCTTTTACTGAGTGCCTCCATTTGCTGCATGAGGTCTTCCCAGGACAGCTCAGCAAGTCTTCCCTTGAGGCTCACCTCAGGGTGTTGGCCAGGTGTGGCCAGGTGTCGGGTGTCAGTTGACACTGGGCTCTCTTCCAGGTTAGTGAGGTGGCTGGAGGATCACCTTTGCCTTGCCGTGCAGGTGCCATGAGCTTCAGCCTCAAGCTTTTGTCAAGGCCAGCAGTAGAGAGACAGGGTGAGGGGGGTGGCAGCACCTCTGTTGTGTCCAGGCTGAGTTCGGGAAGGTTCGACTGTCTTGTAGAAGCCTCACCTGATTAAATCAGGCCCACCTACGTTAATCTGTCTGTTGAATAATGCAGCATTGAACTGACTGGGAGCCTGACCTCCCAGTGCTGACCTCCGTCCCTCATGACAGGTGCTTTGTGCTCTGGTCACGGTCCCTCCGCCATCCTGACGGCCTGTAACACAAGGCGTGGGCTCCCACAGTCCTCAAGGACATTCTGGGGGACAGCAGCTTTCTGGGGGTACTAGGCACATGAACAAAGTTTATGTTGGTGAACAGTGCTTTTTGGCCTTGAAATGTCTATTTTGTTTTCTCCAGGAATTACAGACCAGGATCTTGAAGACATATTAGGGGATTATAAGCCCGACAAGGGTAAAGGTAGGAACAGCGACCCCCGTTCTCATTAAAACGTGATCGCATGCCCACAGGTTGACTGAACTGTCTGGCTCAGCCTCTGGATAACAAGTTCCCAGACACCCCTGCTTGAAAGTTGGGGCTCACCTGGAATGACGGGGGCTGTGGAGCTCGCCGTGGCCCTTACAAGCCATTCGGAAGAGCCATACTTCTCCCTGTGGCTCCTGTGGCCGCGTGCTGCACGGGTTAAGGTCTCTGTCCCGCAGAAACGCCGGTGACAGTCCCTGGGCCGGGTCCCTGGGAACAGCCCTGAAGCCAGGTCCTGCCACCCTTGGGGTAAGAGCAGAATTCACGGTAAGCAGCATTTTAGCAAGAGACCCACAGCAACTCAGGCATCTTTTGAAAGATTTTTTTAAATTTTGAAAGTTTGACTCCTGAGACGTTGTGAAGATTGCTCAGGAAGCTTTGCAGTACCCTCACGCAGCTCCCCGTGAGGAGGTACCGCGCCCTGGTGCACACTCACTGCCTCCCGCAGCTGGCGCCAGTGCCCCGTCCAGTCAGTGCAGAGCTCGCTCAGCACCCACGGCGTGGCCTGCTCTCACTGTGTGTGTGGTGTGTGCGTGCGCATCCTGGCATTTCGGTCACGTCAGGTGCCGTAACGTGGAGGAAGGATGCACCCCTGTGCCGTATTAACCGTTCGGCGTCACTCTTCTCCCAGATATTTGCGGTTCTCCCTAAACTGCCCTTTTATTTTTAATGTAAATTTAAATTTTCAGCTTCCCACCATAATAAAGGCTGCGGTTGGATGCTAGCAAGGAGCCAGTGCTAGCCAGACTGGACGGGGCCGAGCAAGTTCTGCTTGTCCTTTGTGAGCGTTGCTGGCGCTTGCCCCAATGAGTGGGGGTTGTCCCCATGGGTGCCCCGTGGGTGGGGGGTGCCCTATGGGTTCGGGGTACCCTATGGGTACCCACAGGGAGTGCCCTGTGGGTGGGGGTTGCCCCGTGGGTGGAGGGTGCCCCATGGGTGGGGAGAGTCCCTGTGGGATGGGGACTCACAGCCGCCCTTCCCGATGGCGGGCGGGCTGGTGCTGGGTGGTGGCTGTTCCCTGCCAGTCCACAACAGGGACCCATGAGTCCTGCTTTCCAGACGGTCTCGTGTCGCGTAGAAGGCTCTAAGTTCTCTAAATGAACTCACAGGTGTCAGGAGAACATGGGACATTTAAAGGGCAAACCCTGCAAATTAGCCAATTACTCCTGGGTGACAAAGGGTATTTCCAGATGGTGAGGTGAGGGCCGTGGTGGCGTGTAGGCACGCGCAAGTGCAAGGCTGAATGACATGTCTGGGCGTGGGTCCTTATTAAAAGTACATGTTTTGGTAAGGGGAAGTGCTAGGGAGTTCTTTAATTAGGCTCATATTTGAACTTCTCTTGTACAGAGTAATCAGCGCAACTGATTGTTAGCGCAACTCACAGCCGCCGTTGCTCTGGGTGTCAGCAAGGGGAGTGGGGGAGGGTCTGGCCGAACGGACAAACGGGAGCTGCAGCGGCCTGAGCAGCCCGCGCCGAGACTCACAGGCGTGCTGTTGCGCTGCCGAGACAGACGCCTCGCTGAAGTCAGTGGCTTCTCCAGCACAGAGAGCCCCGGTTAACTCGTCTGTCTGCAGCCTGGCGTGTCGGCCCTTGGCTCAGCTGCACTGTGCCTGTCCCAGGCAGCAAGACGCTTTGCCGGCGAAAGGCGACACACAGCTCTGCGCGGCCAGAGCCGGGGTCTGCGGCTGCTGTGGAAACTGTGGCCCCACCGCGGCGGGCGTATAGCAAGGCCCTAGCCCCGGGGGCCCCAGTGCTGTGAGGACCCCCTGGCTTTAGGAACTGCGGTCATGCCCACCACCGCTGGAGCGGCCTGCCGCCCCTCCGGCCCGCACCCTCCTCCCCGCCCGCGGCCCTGCTCTGTTCACTGGCTCCAGCGCTTCGTTTTCGCCTCTCCCAGCGCCCCATCTTTGAGCATCTTTTCTGTTTTCCTTCGGTCAATTCTGCTCGTGGATTCTCCCCGTTTAAAACGTTGACTTTTATATCATCGGATATACATCTTTTCTGAGGTCTGTGAATTTGCAAATGTTTTCTAGCCTGTGGCTCTTCTTTCCTTTTAAGAGCTCGGGGAACAGAAGCATTGTTGTGGAACTCCGTTTTTCGAGTTTTGCCTGTAGGGACCTGTGTTAGGCTGTTTTCGAACACTCGGGGTCGTGAGGAATGTGTGCCGTGCTGGCCTGTGAGACTTTGATCACTCCAGCCTTCACACGCCACCTCTGCCTACGTCCGGTCCGCCTGTCTGTGACGTGAGGCAGCGGTTCTCCGTCCGATTGTGCCGCCACCGCTTGCCCACAAGCTCACCCTCTCCCCGTTGACTTGTCTCGGCTCCTGGGCCCCAAACCCATGCGCCGTGAGTGTGAGGCCTCTTGCCGGACGCTCTGTTCTGCTCCCCTCGCTGCCAGGGCGCTCTCCAGCGCCCACCAGGCTGTCTCTGCGGATGTGTGCTGAGCCTCAGGGCTGTCGCCAAGCACGGCTTTCCCAGTGCTGAGTGCGCCGTGTGTTATGCACCCCAGGACTTGTCCAGTCCCTCCGGGGTGCAGCCTGTGGAGGGCCAGGAGGCGAGATGTCCCTGGGACACCCCTGGAGCTCCGCCTACACCCTGCAAGGCGCCGGGCTCAGTGGGCCCTTGTGGCCCACGCTCCACCTGGGACGACCACGCTTCATTCCATCTGGAGGCAGGGGTGAGGGTGAACCCTGGTTCCCTCACTTCCCTCCGGAGACCTCAAGACGGAGTACGTCAGCAGAGGACACCCACTAAGCGCTTGTGTCCTTTCTGCAGGTGATGGCAGGTACGACGGCAACGATGGCACTGAATCCGGTGCGTTTCCACTGGGAGCCCCGCCCCGGGGCACCCCGCCCCGCCAGAGGGACACATTGTGTCAGGACTGAACTGTGAAGTTGGGGTCCCCGGGGCGCTGCTTGACGGCTGTGTGGGCCTCAGTAGGGAGCGGCCGCGCTGCCTCCATGGCCCCTGCCCAGCTGCTCCTGTCGGCCTGGGCAGCGCTCGAGACCTGGGTGGCCTGGGGGGGAGGTCGGGGGCTGGGCCTGGGGGGCCCCACCGCCTCTCCTCATCTCCCTCCCTGTCGCGCAGGCATGTCGGCAGAGACGGGCACCATCGCCGGCGTGGCCAGCGCACTCGCCATGGCCCTGGTGGGCGCCATCTCCAGCTATGTGTCCTACCAGCAGAAGAAGTTCTGCTTCAGCATTCAGCGTAAGTGTGGCCCGCGGGGCTGTGCCCGGCGCCCGGAGCTCGCATGGGCAGGGAGGGGAGGCGCAGACCTGGGCAGCTGCCCGGGCAGCCACGTGGGAGGGCCATGTCTCGGGACGTCTGCAGGGGAGGTCTCCGCCGAACCGAAGCTTCCAGCCAGCCTGGAAGGAGGGCAGGCCGGACACGATGCCCCTGCCGTGTCCCGGGCTCCTGCTCCCAGAGGCGACCCGAGGCTTCTCTTCCAGTAGAACAGGAGGAGCCCGGGGGTCCCCGACTGGTCTGGGACGTCACCCAAGGGGCGCAGAGTCTCCAGAGGCCCTAGGTCGGCCAGCGCTGTCCTGCTCCGGAACCTTCTGTGTCAGATCCGAGGTGCCAGTGCCGGGCGCCCTGCTCTTGCCCCCAGGAGCTAGAAAATCTTGAAGTCCAGTCAGTACAGGACGTTTCCAGAAGTAGGACCCAGCGGAGAGCCACCCCGCCCCCACGCGCCGTTCTGCTGAGAGCGCTCTGGGCCTGCACGGCTGCGAGGCCACAAGTAGGGGCACAGTGACCCTGTGTGGGAGCACCTGAGGGTGCTGTCGAGGGCCCGTCGAGGGTGAGCAAGCCCACACTTGCTGTTCCCACAAGCACGGCGTTCTGGCTCGCTGGGTGTTTCTGGCTCGGGGTTGGTGATTTCCAGGTCACGGGACAGAACCCGACTTGGCCAGTTTTCCTGTTTCCTGAGGTTGGGGCGTCACCTGTACAACTTCCCTGCCCCTTCTGTCCCAGAGCTGACCTTGCTAGAAAGCTGGGCACTGCTGCAGCGCTTGGAGCGTGGGTGTTGCTGTTCGCCAGCCATTTCAGCATCTGCTCTCGGCTGCCAGTCTGGAGCAGGGCTGCTGGCACATCCCAGTGTGCACCCCTGTTCTTGGCCGAATCACCTTAGTCCAGAAGCTGGGTCGTAGGGCGGCATGGACGGTCGGGAGGGCAGAGCTGGAGGCTGGGTTCTCCTTAGCGCGCTCCCTGCCAGCTCAAAAGCAAAGGGCCCACGGAGCTTAAACAAACACTTGTGCAGGCCAGAAGCCCAAGACCAAGAGGTCAGCCGGCTGCGTGCTTCTGGACACGAGGGGAGGACCCTTGCTGCATCGTCCAAGTCCCGCGGGCCCCAGGCCTCCCCTGGCTATGGCGCCGCCCTCCAGTCTGCCTTGGTCCTCACATGGCTTCTATGTCTGTGTCTCCACTCTCTGTTGAGGACACTTGTCACTGAACTCCGGGCCAGGTCCAGCATGATCAGTCACACCCCCAGGACGCCGTCTGAATAAGGCCGTAGTCAGGTTGCAGGCGTGCGGACGTGCAGTCCCCAGTTACCAGGATGGCTCATATGGAGGCAGGCATCGGGCCTTCCCAAAGCGCATCTGGTGCAAGTGAAATTACTTCAGAGCTGGTCCTTGGCGCTGGTATGGGCTGTCCAGGCGCCTGCTGCCGGAGGGGGCGCGCCCCAGAACCCTCGTCTTCAAGACAAGGAGATGGGGCCTCCAAGGGCTGGGAACGGACATCCTTCTGCCCGAGAGCAAGGGTAGGATGGGGCGCACAGAGGCGTAGAGGGAGAAAGGCCAACTCCTGTCCCGAAGCAGGCGTCGGAAGTCTGCCTGCCTGTCTCTGTGGGGCATTAAGGTAAAATGAAAAGACATTTTCACACTTGCTCCCTCAGACCAAGAGGCGTGAGGTTTTGCAAATCGGATTAGCTGTAGAGGCAAATCGCAGGTGGGAGCATAGAGGCTGTGGTGTGAAAGTGGAACAGTTTCTACGGTGTTTGGGTGCGAATAAACCAAACGCGGGGCCGCTGATGACTGGCAGGTGCGGATGTCACCTCTTGGGGCCACGGCTCAGGTGTGGGCCTCACCGCGCAGGGCCGGGGGTGCTGAACCTGATGGTGGGGGTCCTGGCCAGGGGCCCCGCTGCATCATGCTGCCTGCAAGGCTGATGGCGCCCCAGAAGTTTGGGGCCAGGGCAGCAGGTCCCTCCTCAGCCCTCACAGACTTCACACTGCACCCCACCCTCTGGAGTCCCCCTTCCGTGACGGGTACCTCCCCCCCCCCCCCCCCCCGTCTTCAGGGTGCCCATGACGCCATTGCTACAGCCACACCTCCAGGGTTCCTGCACTAGCACCGACATCCCTGGTGGCCACAGAAGGGAACTGAGTATGGTGTGGCCCCCAAATTCGAGAAGTTCTCCCTTGTTTGTACATCTGCTCCCCGAGCTTACCAGCATGCCACATTCTCTGGGGAATTTGTAAATTGTCCCCACCCATCTTCGTGGCCTCCCTCACAAATCCCACCTGTCCCCTGGGTCTTCTCCCCCTATCAGTGGGTTCCTGGATCCTGGGATCACCACTGCCATGGCCCCTGCCAGGCCAGGGCCAAGGTCTCTTCCTCTGTCTGGAGGGTTCCACGCCCCCCCCCCCCATCCTTCCACACCTGCCAGCAGCACACAGCCTGTAGCCAGAGGGCCTGTTTCAAACGCTGGCTGCGCTGGACACTCTGGGTCCGCTCCTCTCGTCAGGGCGTGGCCATTGGGCGCGGCACTCAAAGTCCCCACTGTGTCTGCACTTTCTTGGCTGCCAGACTCTGGGCGCGGGCCTGCTGCTGCCTCCCACATCTTGCCTCTCCTTGCACTGCCCCAGAACCAGGCCACCGCCCAGGAAGGCTCCAGGCCTGGCCTGCGAGGCCACAGCGCCCCCTGCCGACCGGGCCCAGGGCCCACAGTGTGTGATTGGGCTGGTCCTTGAGGGATTGTGGGCTCGACAGGAACCGTCTGGCCCATCAGCCTAGGAGGCCTGTGGATGTGTGGGGTGCTAACCCCCTGAGAAGCTGTCCACAGAGTGGCCCTGGGGGAGGGGTGCAGAAACCGCATGGCAGCCTCTGGGAGCTACAGGGGTGGTTCCCACCGGCACTCAGGGCCCCCAGCCTCTGCTGCCACCCAGGAGGCCTGGGCTCGGGGTGGGGACGGGCCTCCCCTGCCTTGGCCCTAAGTGCGGGGGTCAGCGCGGCCCAGACAGCTGGGTGCTGTCGCCGGGCAAGTTCTCACTCCAGGGTGCTAAGCCTTGTGTCTTGCCTTCAGATGCAGCAGAAGGTCAAGGTAACCATGTGCTCTTCTTATTCCCCTTGCTTTGGCCTCCCCTCACTGTCCATCTGCCCGCCCCACCCTGCTTCTCACCACTCTCCCCTCTCCAGCATTCACCCACCAGCGCGCAATCTTAGCCCCTGACCCGACCCACAGGAGCACGCGGGCCGCCAGCACAGCTGCGCGGGGCCTGGGGTGGGGCCCATCCGCACCCAGGTGCCCACTGGCGGTCGTCCCAGAGCGGGGACATGGCCCAGTGGCCTCCAGGTCGGCTCAGGGCGCTGAGACGGCCTCTCCAGACCCACTGCCTGCCCCGCTTTGCAGGGATGGGCCAGCTGCCCTTTCCTGGCCCCGGAGCCCGGCCAGCGCTTGGGCCTGAGGTGCAGGGTGCAGGCTCGGGGTTCCTGCGGGAAGCACTGCTTTTTCGCTGCCATGGAGGACTTGGTGAGGAGTTCCGGGTCACGGCAGGGGACCCCTCCGTGCCTGTCTTCACTAACCCACCCTTCGCCCTTTGCAGAGGGGCTCAACGCAGACTACGTGAGGGGGCAGAACCTGGAAGCCGTGGTGTGTGAGGAGCCCCAAGGTGAGGACTTCTCTGCCACTGGCCCGTACCGAGTCCCTTTGCTTGGGGAACACCATGCTGTCTGTTGCCAGATTTGCCAGCCAGAGGGGCCCAGGGGCCCCGCACTGTCTGACCAGCCAGACTCCAGCCTTGTGACATCAGTGACTCTGGAGCTGCAGCCTGGGCATCTGGGCCTCGTGGGCTCCGCCTCTCAGCGCTTCAGCTGAAGCCAAGCTCCAGGCCCATCTGCACCCGTCTGTGAAAACAGACGCGTCTGCAGAGTCCCACACAGGCATGGGCGTCTTAGCCCGGACCCCCAGTCCACTGCTTGGGAACTGCCTCAGACAAGAGAGGGTTTGGTGAACACACTGAGTTCATGCCACCCCTAAGCGCCCACTTCAGGCCATCCAGCACTTTCTGCAGCAATTGGCACAATTGCTTCAGACCTGTGGCCTCCAGTGGCCAGCCACTCAAGGGAGGTACAGCCTGGCACCCCAGAACCCCAGGAGGGATGCCATTGGGGTGTTGGGGCACCACAGCCAGGACATGGGGCGGCCAGGGCTCCAGGCACCCTGTGTGAATTCAGACACGGGGAGGAGGCTCTGCACTGCCCTGAGCACATCCCTAAAATCCTCCTAGTTTTGGGCTCTTAGCACACCTGAACATCGTGGACACAGGCTGAATCTCAACAGAGAACGTGGCAGCTTACTCCGTGTGAGAGTGCAGCGTCACCTCAATAAGGAATGCAAATTGGTAGTAAAACAAAGTCCTCCTGCCAGCGGCCCCTGGGAACCTTCCCGTTAGACAGCCCAGGGAGGGGAGACCCGCCATGGTCTGAGGGACGCTGAGGGGGGCCTGAAGGAACAGTAGGCGCAGGCCCTTCCCCACCGGGTTGGTATGCGGATTCCAGCCCTGCTCACCCCCATTCTCCCTGCAGTGACCTACATGGCGCTGCCGTCCCAGGCTGCACAGCCGCCAGCCGAGTCGTCCCGCATCTGAGGCCTCGTCCCCACGGGCCCGCCGCCACACTGTACCTGCCACGCCCCCGCTTCTCCTCGAGGTTTCCTACGAGCTCGGGGCACCTGAGTTTGGTGTGCGTGCTGCTAAAGAAGTTGGTGTTGAAATCCAGGACCTGGGCCTCAGGGCACCACGTTCCCTGGGAGCCTGCAAGGAGTGAACGACCGGGCCTCAGGCGCCATCACGCGTACATGCGCTGGCGGTGGGGTGACTTCGGTCCTTCTGTTAGAGGAACTATAAGGAGCAAACTCCGAGCCAGTGAATGACGCTGAACAAACTCCACCCTTGGACGTCCTCCTGGATTGCAGCCCATCTCCCTGCTAACCAGGCCCCAGGTGCAGGGGACTACAACTCCCAGCATGCCATGAACCCGGCTCTCAAAACAGAGGGGCTGCTGGGAACTAGGGCCAAGCTGAGTGGCCGTGTTGACCTTAAAGGGCTGAATACGTGCGTGCTCTCTCGCTTTTCCAGCTTCAACTTGACTTTGGTGTCGGCTCAGATGGGATTAGTGGCAGGCCGTGTCAGCCAATGAATTGCTCACCTCCTTCTCACTCCTGTCACTAAGTCTCCTTAGGGTTTTCATCTCTCTGCATGCTTTTGGATCTTGTCCCGAGTCCGGGGAACCCCTACTTCCCCAGATTGCCCTAGGACCCTTCCAGTTCCTGGCGAGCTGACCCAAATGTGGGTTTCTCCTTCATTTAAGTATAAAATGAATGTGAGGTAGTGCCAGGCTGGATCAGGATGGAGAAGCTGCGACTCCCGGGCCTCAACTCCCATCTGACTCCACAGGCTGGGCACAGGCTCCAGGCTGACGCAGTGAGGTTTAGGAACCTTTTTTGTGGTCGAAGTGACTTTATGCTGGGGGAGAGGGGCTTCCTGCTCCTGCCACAGGTTCATTTTGCAGCGGAAGCCTCAGACATCAGGAGTGAAGACTGAGGCCTGCAGTATGCTGCTTATAAAAAGAGGGGCGGGTGAGGGGGAGGCAGATTGTTCAGTGAAATACACCTGTTTGGGCTGTCTCTGGTGACCTAGCCTGTTCTGATGACGAGCGTGGGGGGTAGCAGGACTGAGGCTGACGCTGTCTGGTTTGCAGTGCAGCAGTGCTGGTTTCCTGGTATGTTCCCTCTGGCTCACATGTGGTTGTATCCGGGCCTCTGCTCTCAGCGGTTGATCGAGTCTGTCACAGTGAGTTTGCAGTGTCAAAGAGCACTTCTGGAAGCATCATCCGCGTGGACAGGGAGGGCCCTAGCTCCAGAGCCTCCAGTGTCCCATCCTACACGGTGGCCCCCCTGCAAGCTGATGAGCAGCCCTGCTTGGAAAGGAAACAGCCACAGGCTGTGGGCCTACCCGACCAGGTCTGCCACAGCCAGTGCGCACCGAGGTAGGGCGTGGGCCAGGCCCACCCCTAGGCTCACCCACATCGGCCAGGGGCATATGTCGAAGGCTGTGGGCCCTGGAGGCAGTGAAGTGACCTCCAAGCGGGTGAGATGAGCCCACAGGGAGCTGCTAGCCTCAGGTGGGCCTCTTCTCCGCCCTCTCAGTGACTGTCATCAGCTTTCCTGGCCCAGTGGCCCCACCTTAGTTGCAGCTGGTGGCAGATTAGCCCACCTGTGGCCTGCTGAGGCAGATGTGGCCTCAGGGCAGGGAAGGTAGGCCCCCAGTCCTCAAATGCACATGTCACCCCTTTGCAAGAGGCCACTGAGGCCTGGTACAGCTGAGCGTGCATGTCGGTGCTGGGCGCAGCCTGGAGAGGGACAGGGACCCCAGGACCTGACGAGGGTGACCCACTGGGAGTGGTGCATTTCCATCCAGCCTTGGTAACCCCAAGGGCCACATTCCTTCTGGAGACTGGGGGTGACCTGGGCCCCTGAGGTGTGGGCCACAGGGTCAGGACCGCTACCTTGGGGTCTCCACTCTATCTTGTGGCCTTGACGACATCTCAAGGTTAACGGCATCTGAGCCAGATGATTACTAACTTGCTTTTATGATTAGTACCTGAACTAAATCCTTTAAAGGCACTTGGGCTGCCAAGCCCAGTTCACACATGTAAACCTTCGAGGCACATCTTCTTACTAATTTTCCCTCGAGGAGGAAAGAAACTCTACTGAGATACAGTGACAAGAGAAACAGACCTCGGAGCAAACACTTTAATTACAGGCTGAAATACGGTGCATCCGATGCAGCAAATCCAATATTGTACCGGTTTTTAAAAACCATAACGGGCCGACACCAGGACACTTACAGACAGAGGACAAGAACTGCCGAGGTCACAGCTCGACTTCGGGGAGGCGCAACGTCTGCGCTGAGATGGGGTGTCCATCCGCTGCTGCGCAGCTGAGCTGCGGTTCCAGGGTGCCCCCCAAGTGCTTACTTCAGCACGAGCGAGCCCGCCTTGCTGGAGTGGTTCTGGCAAGAGATCAAGTCTACACTGCATTTCCCAGGCCTAGTGCGGCTGCCAGATCGAGACCTGGGCGCGGACACGAGCCTTCACATGTGCTGGGAACAGAAGTCAAACTAGGATTCAACCATGATTCACAAGCAAATCCCCAGGTGATAAAAATGGAGAGCTGACTTTAAGTTACCCAATTGCCTAGGATAAATATGGAATTACACCAGAAAAGTTTTGTAAGAATCGGAAGGTCCCAAGTTGAACAGCTGTTCTAGGTCAGTGACTGCAAAATCCCCGAGCGCGGGGCCCTGCGAGGCGCTGGGCGCCCGGGCGGCTTCGTGGGCCTGACCCTGCAAGCTGCAGCGCCTCTCCGACCCCGTGCCTCCTGCCAGCGGCTGGCTGGGCGGCGGTGCCCAGCGCCAAGTTGGGCCGCAGCTGGGACAGCAGGAGCAGAGCCCAACCGGTGGCTGCCGGGCTCTTGGCCACGGTGGCCCCTCCGAATGCAGACATCCATGCTGTGGGCAGCAGCAGCAAAGGGTGAGCAGGGCGGTCGGCCAGCCCAGGAGGGGCAGGTGAGCCTCTCGGGGAGGCCAGCAGCTTGGCCCTCCGTCATGCTGACAATGGGCAGCCACCTCAGGGGTAAGGACCAAGGCGAGGTGAGGACAGAAGCCACTGCCACTAACACCACCACACGCAGGCCACGCGCCAATGTACCATGTAAAGGGGAGCCCCAGCGCAGGTGCAAAGAGCGTCTCACAGTCTGGTGAGCAGACACCTGCTCGGGTGGCCATTCTGAACCTAAAAGGACTTAGGAAAATAAAGGTATGTTTCTCTTATTAAAAATACCTTCTATGTACACGCCACTCGTCGGGGCCCCGGGCCCTGCCTGGAGATAAGTGCAGAACAGAGGGCCACTGGCCGCTTCCCACCACATACTTCATTCTGTAAGTTGTCTAGTGGGAACCAAGAGCTACAGGAAGCTATGGGCCAGCACAGGGCCCCAGAGCACAGCTAGTCTCCGGAGGCTTCTCTGGACAAGGGGAGGGCATGGTGGTGGCTCGAGAGGAAGCCGATGCCAGGGTCGATGGGGTGGGCGGCCAGCCTCTGAAAGCCGACAGGAGGGAGACGGAGCGCTCACAACACACAAAGCATCGACAGAGGGGAGCTGTCCCTGGCCACACAGGGGTCATGGCTGGAAGGCCCTTCAGATGCGGGGCCACCAGGCCTAATGCTAACAGACGACATCACGAGCGACGGCCCACGGCAGGTCCCTCTGCGCCTCCAGGGTCAGACCGAGGTGTGCACGGGAGTGACCGAGTGGGAAGGCGAGGAGCCCCGCTCGGAGGAGGACGAGGCACGGGCGGCCACCTCCCGCTGCAAGTCCTCCACCCTCTTCTGCAGCTCCGCACGCACCGCCAGCAGCTCCTTGAGGTTCTGGTGGATCGGCATCTGGGGGCAACACAGCTGGTTACAGCCTTCCCGGGCACTGTGTCACTGGGCGCCAGCAGCAGAGGGGCCTTGTGGGGCAGGCGCCTTTGCGGCAGGGCGGGCAGCACGTCTGCTCCGTGCCCAGGACCCCTAGTGGCAACGTGGACATACAGGGCCCTGCAGAGAGGTGCTGCGGGCCCCGGGGCAGGTGCGCCCTGCTTCCTGGTTGCTACGGCAGCTTAGAACTGCCCGGTGAAGGACGGGGTGCTGTGCCCGCGGAGACGCCAGCACCACCGGTGTGGAGCTGCTGGAAGGCAGATGAGGGCTCTGGACCCTAAGTCACTCGTGCCTACAGCTCTGCCATGGCCCCGGTGAGAGGACAGCAGGGCCCTGGCTCCGAGGCCCAGCTGGGAGCTGGCACCGGGCAGCGTGCTGCTGTTCTGGGCACACGAGCTGTGGCTGGGAAGACAGTTCTCCCCAAAACACCATCCTCACTGCGGGAGACCAGGGGCGAACTAAGGGCAGCAGGGCACACAGAGGGGCAGGCGGTCCGAGGGGTGAAATAACGTGCTCGCCCCACAGCCGGCTGGGCGGAACCTGGGAGCCAGCTTGTGACTCCAGTCAGAACTGACAGGAGGGGCCTGGCCAGATGCAGCCTCTTCCATGCGCTCTTTCACTCACTCAGCCACACCTGCAGGGCCCGAAGCAGTCTACGTGCTGCGGACATCCACTGAATCAGGCTCGGCCCCCGCAGTTTCCAGCTCGTGGTCTCGGGGGCAGCAGCCGCACACCAAGCCACCGCCTTTCTCTGTGAACACGTGTTGTTTGGAGGGCAAGCACATGGCCGCCCCGGCGCTGGGGGAGCGGGGGCTGAGGCGGGGCAGCTCTGGGAGGAGAGGCCACGGCCACCTAGCGGCAGGGGCGGCCACAGCACCCACCCGCAGAGGCAGTGCCAGGGAGGTGTGAGGGGGGCAGGTTCAGACGTTGACACTGGCGAGGCGGGAGTGCCAGGCGGCTCCACAAGAAGGGCGGTCGGGCGGCCCCACTTGGCATGTCCTGCCCTGCGCTGCCTCCCCAGAGCCCAGAGCAGTGGATCGGACTGCACCCCAGCACTTCTGCCGCCCTTTGTGGTTCAGAGCGGCAAGAGTCCAGGAGGCGAGGCCCGCAGAGGCTTGACCAAGCCTCCTCAGAAGGCAGCGGTGCCTAGACTCAGCTCTAGCCAAGGAGCTGAGCGTGCAGGAGGGTGCGAGTCCTGAGAGGGCAGGCGGCATTTCGTAGACAATGTGGCAAGGTCGGCACTCCCTTCTGCTCTACTCGGAAGGAAAAGCACACTTTCCACCTGAATAAAAACGTACCTGAGGCCTCATGCGTGGATTCCATCGTACGTAATAGTTTACCCATAATTCCAAATGCCTCAGACTACCAACAGGATATAAGACGTGGTTTTCATAGTTCACAAAGAAGGGATTAGAAAATTCATCAAGCTGGCTATTGATGTACGACCACAACGATACAGTCTTCGTATACACATCCTGCAAAATAAGAAAGGGACACAAGAAATAAAGCCGACTTTTCTTCCTCACTTCCAGAACTTACATCACTTCAGGAAAACACTTGAAGAATGGAGTTCAGACAGTGTCTCCAGGCGCGTTTAGCAAAGCCCACCCCACCGCTTAGCCACAGGGGAGCTTGCTGAAACAGTGTTTGTGGAGGTCTTCGTGCTCAGTCTCCAAGCTGGGGCCCAAGGACAGTAACCAAGAGAGGCGGTGCTGACACAGTGGCAGGGGCCCAGCTGAGGGGACCGCGCAGAGGACACACGTATGAACACTGCATTTACAGTCAACTGACTCTCAAGGGGGTGCCAGGAAGCGGTGTGGGAGGGGTGACAGGCTGCTCAACAAAGACTGCAGGGAAAGCTGGACAGCACGTGCCAAAGAATGAAGCTGGACCCTTCCCTCACTCAAAATGACTCCGAGATCCAAATGCAAAAGGCAAAACTGTCAAGCTCTTTGCAGGAATCTTCATGACCCTGGATCAGGCCACAGTGTTTTGGAGGTGACCCCAGCAGTAAAAACAACAAAAATCTTAAAAAAGATACATTGAACTTTCATCAAATTTAAAGTCTTGTGTGCTTCAAATGACACCATGAAAAAAAAAAGTCGAGTCCACAGCATGGGAGGAAAGCTTTGCAAATCCTGTCTGACGAGGCGCTTGGATGTAGAAGCTCTACACAAGAAAGACCAACAGCCCAGCGGAATGAACACTTGTCCACACAAGATGTTCAGCAGGTAACGGCGTGGTGAATACCCATCAACCCCACAGTGCCCCCGCCTGACCCTGGCCGCGGCGGCTGGGCTCAGGGCCTGAGGCGCGGGTGTTGGCAAGGACGTAGGAGTCGGTGCTGCAGACCCGCTGGTGGTGTGGCACCTGTGACGGCCGCTGTTGGACAAACAGCCTGGTGGGTCCTCAAAAGGTTAAGCAGCGAGTCGCTATTGGCCCACAGGCCTCCTCCAGGCGATGCCCAGAGAAATGATGCAGTGACCCGCAGGATTTAGCAAGCCCGGAAAGAGAAGGGCCTGGGAACCCCACCGGCGCATGTGCATTCGGGCCCCTGCAGGTGCCTGCTGCAAAGAGCGGGAATAAAGCCCTGGCAGGGTTTACAGGTGGGGTGAACTTTGAAAACAAGCTCAGTGAATGCCGCCCGCCAGGAGGGGGGCCCACATGTAAAGCGCCCTCACGTGAGACGCCCCAGAGGTGGGTCCAGAGAGAAAGCTGAGCAGTGCTGCTGGAATGAAGAATGGGGCACAACTGCCAGTGGCCTGGGGAGTTTCATGGATGCAACAGTGTCGTGGTCGCACCAACCAAGGGGCTGTGCACTTGGCCGAAGTGACTTGCTGGTGTGTGAATAGTGCCTCAAGGGAACCATTTCAGTCTATAAAGAGTACATTTGGACAAAAGAAGAGATAAGACCAGGAAGACTTAAATTCCACATGTAAATTTCATTCTTCTGTTGCTAATTCAAACAAAAGTCACTCTCGTTCCTTTGAATGGCGTTGACAGGGCCCCGGGCACATGGGCTTTACTCTGACAGCAGTGGGCTGCCAGGGCAGAGGCTGCGTGGACTGAGCTTGGAAGCGCCATGGTGCCAGAGTGGATGGGGGGCCGAAGCCCCTCCCTGGGATGTTGTGCCTTCCCAGATGTGGGGCCCCGGGCCCATGCAGGCTTGTGAGTGAAGCAGAGAGAAGCGGCAGATTAAGAAGCTATTAGTCTGGGGACAGGGCTGCCGCGTTGGGGGGCCGCAGATGGGACTGGGCGCCGACCAGGCTGAGGTAGCGCTGACCCGGCTGCACAGAGCATGGCACGGACTGCAGGGCCCTGGCAGGGATGACGTCACCTAGAGACCAGAGCCTGGGGGAGAGCACCCAAGACGGCCCTGGAGGCCCAGGAGGGCGTCAGGCGAAGCCAGGAGCCTGAGCAGGGTGCTGGCGCTGGGCAAGCGGGGTAAGCGGCACAGCATGCGGCCGTGTCCGTGTGCACAGCTTCTGAAGTGGGCAGGGCGGGCCTGGGGCCTGCCGTGGTTCCTAAGCCACGCCCCTGGTGCGCCCCATCGTGCGCTGCAGTGTTTTCACTCGCAGAGGGTGCGCTGCGCTGTCTTTCCACAGGCTTCCCTTGCCATGATGCCAGCTGTCTCAGTCCCCCACTGAGGGACGGAAGAAGAGGTGCTTGCAACTGAGGAGCTGGTGCTGCTGCTGTCCCCACCGGATGAGAGGCGAAGACCAGCCTGCCGCATGGAGGGAAGTGCTGGGCCCCGCAGGCGCCCTCCCCAGCCTCCCGCCCCCAACAGCACAGGCGGTGGAAAGCAGCTTCGGAAAGCGGGGAGTCTGCTACTGGCTGAGGTGCTCACACTAGCCCAGGCCCCGGCACCTATCGAGGGGTGCAAGGGAAGCTGGAGAAGACACCTGGGCACTGGGTCGGGGTGACACGCAGATGGCGTCCAGCACAGGGTAGAGCCCAGTCCCCTCTGCACACACGCCCTCCCGCGGGCCTTAGGGGAAGCCGGCCGAGCGGTGCGGCAGGCGGAGAGGCGCTACACACTTACCTCTTTGAGTCGCTGCTGTTCACAGTTGCACAAGAAAGTCCCAAAGAGACAGCTATAAAGGTGATCCAAAATTGTAATCAAGAATAGTTCATTAAACTCGAAGGCTGAAGGAAACTTAAATGAAAAGAAAAATAAGGTTTCATTTTAAAGTTCAATTTCTGAAACAAAACGGCCCCACATTTTTTGTGAAAATGTGCCACTTGGAGTAAAGTGCAAGACGACAAGAAGACTGAGTCCACACAGCACTGGAGACCCCGCGTTTCCCTCCCAGGCCTACAGGTCTGCCTGAGAGAAAACTTGAGTCAAGAATTGCTGGGCTCTTCCATGCCTCACAAAGCTTCCGTGGCCCCCCAGGATGGTGGCCCGGCACACTCAGCCCACTGCAGAAGCAACTAGAAAGCTGTAGAAAAATATATGAACCACTGTTTGCAGACACTGCAACAAGCAGCGTGGGACTGTGACCCTGAGAGAAGGGGCAAGTGAGGGGACCCTGCTCCTGCCCCAGCTTTTCGCCTGGAGGTGCACTAAGGGGCGGGGAGGCATCAAAAGTGGCCCAAGAAGACATGGAGTGGCCAGGTCAATTCGAGAAACTGCTCACAGCTGAGGCTCTTCCCACACAGCCAGCTCCGTGGACACACAGGTCTAAAGCCTCACCAGCAACCAGGTAATACCTGCTGGACGGAACTCCGAGGGTGACGGGGTTGACCTCAGGGATGCACAGCTGGTTTGAACATTTGAAGATCGATGTTACCAGAAAAGTCAATGACTGTAGCTTACCATATTAATGGCATTAGGGAGGGTGTCACACGATCAGGGGTTTTGAGAATTCCAGGGAAGGCTTTTTAGCACCCTGGGAGGCTCTGGCCAGGGCAGAGGCGTCTAGCAGCCATGAGGAGAGGGCATGGAGATGTAATAACGGCCCTAGCAGGCGTGGACTGGGGCCTGGCGCGTGCCGAATGCTAACAGCCAGCTGGTGGAATGCTCACGGCCTTCTGAAACAAAGCCAAGCGGAAGGCAAGCAAATGCAGCTGCCAGCGCCTTTCTGTGCGGCAGTGTAAAGGCCTGTTCGCGTGCTGCTCCGAGTGAGCGCCTGCACTGTCACCGCACATCCTGCCGGCTCGGAAGCGACAGGCAGGGTTCTTGTAAGCAAGTTCGCTGGTGGACTCGGTTTTACTACTACATTAGACCAAGGACAAGCTTCTGAAGTAGAAACAGCAGTCCGGGACTGCCCAAACGCCACCGCGAGGCTATTTTACATGTAGCTTCTGCTCAGCTACCTCTGGAGGGTAATACTGTCCTCAGGAGCCCGTCAGAAGACCACTCCTCCCTGAAGCCAGCTGTGGTGGCTTCTAAGTGGCATTCCTGTTCTTAGATGGAGGCGATCCGGAGCTAAACCAGTGGGCTCCGACCGCTGGCCCGCCTCTCAGCGTATGGCTTAGCCCTTTTGCAACTCCCAGTGCCTCACATTCCAAAATGCTCTTTAAAAAAGGCCAAATACATCATGTCCACTCTCTTTCTATGTAGCTTAGTAATGTTCACTTACAAAGGAACAGCACCATGAACTCTGAGTTTTAAACAACTGTGTACCCCTTATGTCTACTAAAGCTTTACTAAATCAAGGACAGCAATGTTCATCTTCACGTTATCTTCAAACACTGAAAAAGAGACGTCCACTCACAAGACAGCCCATTTTTGAACTGATGAATCCTCATTCCTAATCCCAAGCCCTCTCGGAGCGGAGAGCTCGGCTGAGTGCACTCTTAGTGCCTTTCTCTGGCCAAGCAAGTGGCAAGTGTGGGGTCTTGGCCCGAGTCCATTGGCGCGACGTTCTTTGAGCTCAGAGTGCATCGTGGCATCCAACTCAAGTGAGTGCAACTCACAGGGGAAGGAGCAACAGCTGGAGTGACACAAGAAAACCCGAAATCTCTGTGCTTCAGTCTGTTTTGCCTGCTTCTGGAAATGACACTACCTGCCCGAACCCCACAGAATCTATCAGCCAGTCTGCACCTCTGGAGGGACAGAAACAGCCTCCATGAAGGCTGCCCAAGCCTGAGGCGCCACCGCAGGAGATATGCAAAGGCCTCCCCCCACTAGCTCTCGACCTTCCCCTTCACACCTTATGCCTCGACTGGGGCCCACAGACAAGGCCGCCTCCTCTGAGATTTCTCACAACTTTGCCTTGTTGCACGAATAATCCTCTTCTAAGAGGCTATATGTCATCCACTTGCGACTTAGCTGACAAAGCGCCATCACTCACATTCATCCTTCTAATGCATCCATGCTTTTAAAAGAAACACATACACACATTCCACGGACACAGCCTTTCAGCTATGAGAGGCATCTGACATCTTCTAGTGCAAAGTCCTTTTCATTCTTAAATCCAACAAACAGTACAAAAATGACAGACTAGACATGCAAATGGGCCCTTGGCAATATGAAGCACAAAGTCACCTCGAACAGGTTAAAACTCACACCTTTTTCTAGGCATTCGTGGGGAATAAGCTACTTCACATACACAAAAATGGCATTCCACCTCAGAAACATTCAAGTTTTCTATCAACCTTTTCATACAATTTCTTTTTTTTTTTTAGATTTATTTATTCATATAGAACTGGGGTACAGGCCAGAGGTGCAAGGGGTGAGAGGATTCACCAGAGGCAGAGTGGGGAGCAGAACAGGTAGATTTCCTGAAATACACTGCTGAGGGGAGCAGCGGGCGGCTCAGGAGAGGTCTGCCATGCCATGTGGGTCACTCCATGGCCAGGGATTGAACTCGTGCTGCAGGGGCTGCGTTAGCTTCACAGTGCTGCACTTTAAACCACTGTGCCACCAGGGAGGGTTTCATACAATTTCTAGGCTGTATTTCACACTTTGTCTTTTTTTTCAAATGATTTATTTATATGCATACAGAACTGGAGTACAAGCCAGAGGTGCAGGGGCAGTAAGAGGATTCACCAGAGACAGAGTGGGGAGCAGGACAGGCAGATCGACGAAGTACACTGCTGAGGGGAGCAGCGAGCGGGTCAGGAGAGATTTGCCGTGCCACCAGGGCAGGGCCCTGTTTTCACACTCTGTCTTAACCTGAATGTAATGCTCATCTCACTGCTGCCAGCTGGGCTTCAATATACACGGCAAAGTTTAAGTAAGGCCTTGTGACGAGAGGAGTCGAGACAAGAGGAGTTAAGATGAGGCAGGGAGGCGCCATTCCTACCCAGCCCAGGGCCCCAGATCCGCAGGGGCCTACCCTGACAGGCACTCTCAACCGTAAGCGCCCAGAGGCTGGCTCTGAAAGTTCCGAGAGGCCTGCTCAGAACAACCCCTCCAGCCTTCTTGTTTCTGAAAGCCTGTGTACCTGTCTACACTCACCACTCGGGTTTGGCTGTCAGAGAAGGGAAGAACAGCCCCGGTCTTCTGTGCTGTGCAGGACACCCCCAGAGCCCGCTTGCTTCCCAGTGCCCTGGGCTATGGGACTTAGGAATGAAGCACTAGGAACTGGCAGGATGCCCCAAAGCTTCCTACCTGCCCCTGGTTCTCGGACATGCATTCCCTCAGAGAGCTTGGGGTGGCAGGGTTGGGGTCTGCGGTCCTAGGCCTAATCCCCCTTGCAGGCCTTGGAGCCACAGCCCACTCCTAACACTGGCTGAGCCCCACAGGAGCCGCTTGGCAGGGGGTGGTGACCTTCCCGCCAGAAAGGTAGCAGAGGAACCAGTGACTGAGAAGTGAGGAGGGGAGAGAAGAAAACCATTCACACAAGAAAAGTAACTTTTGATGCGAAGCTGGTTGTTTCCAATCTCCTACTATGATTCTGAGTTAGAATCAAACTGAATAAAAGCCAAAAAAAACTAAAGGGTCATGTCGCACACATACACACACGTCTGCATTTTGAATGACATTAAATGAAAGTATATGACCCTCAACTTCAAGATAGGCCTGAACCAGATTGCATAGGTCAGAAATATACTTGCAATCTCTCACCTGTCTTGTCATTTGCCAAACACAGTCAATAAACTGAAGAAATATAGGGGATCGGTCAGCATCTGCGTGGTTGTCGCTGCCGTGGCCCACTCGCTGAAAAGAAACAGGTTGTTAAGCACAGTCTTCATGCCTGCGTCTCATGTGTACGCCCCAAGGCCTAACCACTACTCGAACCAGCAACAGCCACTGAAGTGAAGCGACTTCCATCACTGCTCACGAGTAAGACCTAAGTGGCCAACAGTTTTGCATGTTGCTAGCTTTATGCCTGCTGTGCAGGGGAGTGGAGATCCAGAAGCTGGATGCGTCAGCCGGCCACCTTTCCAGGCCAGACAGAGCACACGCTTGTGACGCAGGGTGGCAGCGACAGTTCACAGCGGCACTCCCCAGGGACTTTCTCTCCAAGGGTAAGGACAGCTTTTTCCACCTTTCAGAAATGTCAGAAGGCTGACTGTTTTGACTAAAACAGTGATTAATGATCTGTAAGATCTAACCAATTCTACATGACTCAGAGACCCCAAAATCTACAATGACAATGGGGAGTCCGAAAAGGTAAAAGATGACCTCAAATGTATGAATAGGATTGGCAAAACAAATGGCAAACTGGACAGCAGCTCAAAGATGGTCATTCTGGGAGAGGCTTCAAGTAATCTGAGGAGACCGCCCACACGCGGAATTGGCTGTGGCCATCCCCACCTTTACCCGGGGAAATTGCTAACCGAGCTACCACCCTGACCCTTGCACGTGAAGCTCAGTGGCATTAAGTGTTCACATTGTACCCCCATTTCCAGAGCTTTTGCTTCTTACACTAGAAGTCTGTTTCCATGGGCCTGCTCCCCAGCCCGGCACCCGCCATTCTACTCTCTGGCTCTGGGCCTGGCTGCTCCGGGCGCCTGGTCCAAGTGGAGTCACGCAGCATTTGTCTCAGTGCGTGGCTCCTTCCAACTCAGCATGGTGCCCTCAAAGCTCATCCATTCTAAAGCCATGCAACATCCGGCTGACGGCCAGAGCACAGCCAGTTTGCCCATTTGCCTGCCAAGGGGCACTGGGCTGTGCTGGGACTCGTGCTGGGACCAGCACAGAGTGACCATTTGCATCTCTGCTTTCCATTCCTTTGGGCCTACACCCACAAGGGGAGGCCCACGCCCAACAGCTTTTCGCGTTTTCACTGTTGGGGCGCCATACCTCTTCCCCAGCAGCTGCTTGCGCCCCGCGGAACTCGCTGCCCCACTTACCAGTGCAAACCGGTGTCCAAAGCTGACCCACTCCTTTTCTATGAGTGCCTCGAAGCCCTGAATGGTGCGGTAGTAGCCGTCCAGCATGAGCATGGCCAGGGACGTGAGCTGGGCCGTGCGGTCCCAGCCGTCGCTGCAGTGCACCACCACCGAGCTCTTGCCGGACTCTATCTTGTCGGCTATCCGCACCGCCCCAGCAAGAAGCATCTGAAAGGCGCAAGAAACCAGATTATGTCTCACTCCTACTCCAGCATAAAAGATTTATGGGGGTCCATTAGCCAAACAAGAATGCAAGAGAAGAGCTCTCGAGGACATAGGAGCAATGTGGGAGGTTGGGGGCGGGGAGACACTTTGTTTAAAAAAAAAAAAAAAAGAAGGCAGGAAACAGGGTTCTTTATGAATGTCCCAAAGGGCAGCATAACAGCTTGCCTCCGGCCACCATCGTCCCCTACTATTGTCACAAATACCCCTAACCCAGCACCAGTCCTGAGGCCACCCACGGAAACCAGGCTGAAGTGCATGTAGACGTGCGTGGGAAGCACGCGGCAGCCCGCTCTGGGCACACAGAGCTCTCAGCCAGAGGGCCGGTGAGGGCTTCCCCTTTACCCGGATGTACTCCAGCCAGTGAGTCGCATCCACACTGGACAGCCAGCGGGCCTCGTTGACGGACGGGTACACGATCTCCTTCAGTTTGCGCAGGGACTCGCGCATCACGTGGATGTTGTGGATCTCCAGGAAGACCAGCTCTGCGTTCGGGTATGCACTTTCACTTTCATATCCTCCACCCTTCGCCTGTTGGGGACACAAGGTCAACTCTGCCTCGTCTGAGTTAACTCTTCTTTCCAGTGTTACGCGCGACCATGAAAGCAGAGAGCCACTCGGCTGTTGACAACCAGCCTCCGCAGCCTTGCCTGCGTCTCCTGGGGCCACGGAACACAACGCCACAGACCAAGTGGCTTCTAACAACAGGACTGTCTCCTGAAGGTTCCGGAGGCTGGAAGTCAGACATCAGGTACTGCAGGGCTGTGCTCCCTCAGGAAGCCCTTGGGCACGATGCTTGTTGGAGGGCCAATGGTCACTGAGCACCAGGGAACCATTGAGCCAGAAAGGGGCCGCATGGCCAGGCCCGGACACTAAGAAGAGAAAGTGTCAGAACGCTTTGCCACCAGGAGGGAAAGTCAAAAACGCAAGGCCGAGGAGCCATGCCCGAGGGAGCCCGTGGGCATCTCAAATTGGAGGAGGAGGAGGGCAGAAGGCCTTCTGACTTTAGCTGGTTGGTGAGAAGCACAGGGGCTGAGGGGTGGCTGGTGTCTGAGGTGGAGGTGGGCTCGGGAGACCGAGCCCTTAGCCTGTGGAAGCTGACCCTCTCCACGGATAGTGGCAGCATCGAGTGCGCCCCTTAGACCCACTGCGAGTCCACAGTTGCTTGTTGGTGTGCACAAGCCTCACCATCCGCACCCCAGTAGAACAGCTACTGAAAATAATAAATGAAGACAATAACCTATTGTGGAGCTACAAAATATACAAAACCCATTACATTGCTATAAATAATGAACTAGCATAAAGAGAATCACGAAAACAGTCCCATTATCGTCACATCAAAAAGAATTAAATACCTTGGAATGCATTTAACCAAAGAGGGAGGACCTGGACACAGAAAGCTAAGCTTCTACTGAAAGAAACCGAAGAAGACCCAAAAAGAACATGGTATTCCGTGTCTGTGGGCTGCAGGGGCGCATGGCGAGATGGCTGTTATCGACAGCAATCCGGACTCGACACGTCCCTATCAAAACCCCAGTGGCATTCTTCACAGAAATAGAACCCCCAAAATCATGAAGTTTACCCAGAAGAGCAAAACTGCTCCTGAGAAACAAGAATAAAAATGGAGGCCTCGGCCCTCCCTGGTGGCGCAGCGGGTTAAAGCACAGCACTGAGAATCTGAGGCCGCTTCCGCATGAGTTCGATTCCCGCCTGCTGCCTGCCCCGGAGGAGACCACATGGCGAGCCAGACCTCTCCTGACCCGCCCGCTGCTCCCCTCAGCAGTGTACTTCGTCAATCTGCCTGTTCTGCTCCCCAATCTGTCTCTGGTGAAGCCTCTCACCGTCCCTGAGCCTCTGGCCTGTACCCCAGTTCTGTATGAATAAATAAATAAATCTTTAAAAAAAAAAAAAAATGGAGGCCTCACAGTCCTCGACTCTAAGCTATTCTATAAAGCAGAAGAAGCGACAGTGGCTTGGTAGTGCAACAAAAGACACTCACCAATGAAATAGAACCTAGTCCAGAAATAAGACCGCACGCAAATGGACAACTTACTAGTTACTAGTACTGATTACTAATACCCAAATTACTAATCAACTAACCACTTCGTTTCACAGGTTAAAGAAATTTCCAGACCTTCACAATCGTCTCTCTAAAATACTTACTTGATTTGTTAAGTGCACAGAGTGTGAAGAAGCCACGAGAGGGACGAGGCCCTGCCTGAGTGAGACGCTGCATGTGCACACTCCAATACCAGGGAGAGCGCTGGGCTTCCCCGTGGGTCCCAGCTTCGGGCAGGGAGGAGCTGCCCATGACATGCGAACTGCAGGTTTCCCTAAGCAAAGCCCTAACTCTAACTCTGCAACTGCTCAGCCACTTCCACGACATGGCGGAGAACCTACTTTGTTGGTGTCGGCGACGCTGTTCTGGCGCGCGTCAAAGACGGTGAGCTTGTGCGACTGCGCGTTGGCGTCCATTATCGTCTGCAGATATTTTTCATCTTCCTTGCAGCGTTTATCATTGGGGCCCACCAGCGGCTGGCTGCACCGGGTAATGGTCGCCTGACTTTCTGGATGAATCCATGACAACACCTAGTGTTTGTAAGCAACACGTGTTAGTACTGAAAACAGCACCGCATAAGGTAGTAAATGTCTGTTCATGAGCACAGCTTCCTCTGCATGTTCTTCTCCAAGGCAAGAGAGCCAGGGCAATTAGCATAAGAGGGTCCGTGGCCTGCAAAGTCTGGTGAGTTTGAGACAAGTCTTACTAGAGGTCTAAAATACCCTTCTACCTCCAAAGTTTGACGATTCTAAGAAATGCAGGAACTAAGTGAGACCATATTAACATTAAGCTCCATTCCTATTGCATTGACTTGTTTAATTTCTTTCTCCTGATTTAAAAACATTTTTGCTTCTCGACGATGACACAGACGGCAAGGAGCACAAAGGGAAGAGAGGCCCTGAAACCTGCATCTCCTTCCAGTGGCCAAGAGCCTCAGGATCATACCAGACTACATGTTCTGGGTTCAAAAGTGTGCACCCCGCCCGCCCTGCCGCCCCCGCACCGGTGGTGCCGATGGAACCACAAGTGTGTGCATGTGTCCACACTTGTCAAATTCTATGCATTAAACATGGGAGGGGGTTGATGTATCGCTGAACCCACAATAAAGCTGTTATGCACAACCCCCTGCTGGCTTGTTTCTGAACAGGCCCCCCTGGGTTGGCTGTGGCATTCCACTCTGCATCTGCCACAGTACAGTTTCTCTAGGAGGATTCAGGGAACCCGGCCATGAACTGTAAAGGCAGAGGCGGCAGTGACAGGCCACACCCATCCTGTGGCCCTCAGTCACACCACTACAGGTTGCCAGCGCACCGGAAAACCCCTGTACTTAACAAAATGAGGCAGGGAGTCAGAATTCTCACACCGTCAGGTAGTTCTTGAGACTCGCAGCTGCATCCAGGTTGTCAGGCTTACTCTTCTATGCGGCCTTTTACTCACTAGGCTTTCTCCGTCTTGCTTCTGTCCACCTTAGGTCTAAAGCAGGATACGTTTGTGTCTGAATGACAGCCTTTACTACTCACAGGGATTCTGCCTTTTGCTCGGAAGGCTGCCACTTTCGAAAGGTCATCATCTTGTACACTCGTTGGCACAACAATGACGGCAGGGTAGGTGTCACACAGCTCGTAATTGCTGTTTACTCTGGATATTTTCCAGCTCTCATTGGGCAAGCCCTGAGGGGAGAAGCATGGCAAAGCCCACTTTCACACCTTCAGCAAGTACTGACCACAAGCCACGTCTAAGTCCTGGTTTCTACTCAAGTCCACCTACAATGTTATTCCCTGCTACACATTTGAATCCACACCCATCTAACATAAGCCATATCAAACTATTTTTAAAAACCTAATGAAGCACCAAGATTTCCCAACATACTATGACATGAAAACTAGATACCAGACTCCCAGAGTCCTGGACATCTCTTATATTTTCTCTCAAGAATGAGCACAGTCGTTTTTGAAAATAGTCATGAAGATCCTTTAGCCACACACTTACAAGTGTCTAAAATAAATATATAAATGACCATACCAAATTCAGGGCGGAGACAAAGTTCCAACACCATGAAATTCACCCCACGTTGGGCTCTCCCGACAGCACGCCCAGCAGCGCCTGGACCCTAACTCGGGCCACTGATTTCGACCCTTTCTCAGCTCATCCGGAGCGGCTAACAGAAACCAGGTGGCTGACACACTGCCTGGTGCCATCTTCATACCCTGCTTGACACCAGGGCAAAGAGCAGCAGGTCTGGTCTGCAGAGAGGAGGCGAGCAGAGGACCTCCAAGGGGGAGTTATACCTAGTAGAGCATCTTGTAAAAGGTTCTCCTCCACTACATTTCTAACCTTTTACAAAAGAAAAAAGTTCAACCTATTATTTTCAGTTTGATGAGCAACATACTTTACCTGTCTCTTATATTCAGATACCGGGTCATAAACTTTCCATCCATTAATTGGAAATTTTTCTTTATAGTTGAACGCAAATAGTGTCTGGATACAAAAAGAAAAAAAAAAGCCACAGAATACACATCAGCATTTCTTCTCTAAATCATGCACCCAGCATTGACTCTTGTCCCCCAGTAGTAAGCTGAATATAGTACAATCCCATTTTAATCTGTAAATTTTGAAACAACAAACTGGCAGCTTTTCTTAATCATTATGTAGAAGTTACAAACTTTAAATATTCTAATAATAGTTAGAAGAGAGAAAGAACTTCTCAAGAAAGAAATAATTAAATATGACACACATGCAGAGAAGTTTTATTTGGGTGTATTTACCTGCCCTGTGGAAAGAGGAAATGCGTGTTTGCTGAGATTTTCAAATATTCCCAGTTTGCTCTGTTCTTCCTGTTTATAAGCAAGTCGCAAGTTCCTCATATCCTGTTAAACAATCATCGAACTCATTTATTCAACACACACTGAATGTGGGCCAATCAGCTAGGATATAAATATCTTTATTCATTTCTCATGTTATACTCTGTTTTGCTCCAACTAACATAAGGCAACGAACAAAACACCTCAAGCAAGATGAAAATCCAGGAAACCGAAGCCGAGGGGACATGCGGGGAAGAAAGTCATCGATGGAGCCAGGAATGTGGGCAGTGTGTAACGGATGCTGTCGGGCACAGGCACTCACGGCTGCAGGTGGCACAGGGTGAGCTGTGGGTGGGAAGCTACTGAAGGAAGCAACTATGGGACTCGCAGCCCACGGGAACCGAGGTTTCTTCCCGGCCTGAGGGCCAGGGCCGTCACAGCGACGCGGCCGCAGGACTTCCTGACAGCGCACAATGCTCTCACTAAGACCCAAGTTCTCAGCGTGCAACACTCACCCCTACACGTGCAAGCGGGCAGGAGCCACCCAGCCAAGGGCGTCTGTCATGTGCTTCCTTCCCAGGCCTGGCATAAGTCGTGCTCTCTGCCCCCAGACCTTTTATAAAGCTATGCCCTTAGGCTTTAGACACGAACATCTCATTTTTTAACATCAGAAGAAATGTGAGAATCGGCCACAGACATTAAAGCAACAGCTTTAACTGGACGCTGTTGCCCTGGTATTTATGCAGCACACGAACAGACGTGAGCTGAGTGCCCATTGAGAGGGGACGGCTACTTGCAGCTCGGGGTACTAAGGAGCTGCTGCGGGCGAGCAGGCAGCGGGCTCAAGGAGCCCCACGGCACAGCATCAAGGGGAATGAAAGAGACAGAAGCGGGGTAACAGGCTCCCACTCACTCAGACCAGACGTGCAATCGTACGTGGAGGTCAGTAACTGCAGGCATCTGCAGGGAGCAGGGGTGGTGTGGTTGGGAGTTAGGTGGAAGGAGCCTGACGTTTCCCCACACCCAACTTTTGTGCCTTTTGAATTGGTTATCAGCTATTTAAAACCAAACCCTATACCTCACCAGGCTCTCAGGCATGAGCTGAGGGCTGGGATCATGGCCCTTGTCATTACAGGCTGCGAAAGAGTTTAAAGCAGCTATCAGTAAATGCTGATCACCACCCTAAAAATATCTGAAGCCCCTTCCGACTTGTAAGATGGCAGGTGAAACGAGAAGAAACCTAGAGCCAAGAGAGCTGGTGCTGGCGGCCAGGCTAAGGGGAAGCCCAAGCAGGGACCTGTCCTTGCAGAAGAGCTGCCAGAGACGCCCGGCATGCTATGCACTCAGAAACAGCACGGAGGTCGTGTTTAGCTAAATCCAGGATTGAAAAGAAGAAGCAGGTTCTTGCCACTGGCACAAAGGGCAGTTGATGGTGACAAGACGGCAGTGCCCGAGTGGTTCAGTGCCACAAAATGCCAGGTGCTGTCCTGCTGACAGGCCTCAGAAGCTGTCGGGCAAAGACCCGTTGGTAGCAGGTGAGAAAACTGTGAGCATGCTCACACCTGGGCCCCTCTGTTCGCCTCGCTGACACCACGGAGGTGGGGGAGATTCTCCTAAAGCCACTTGCTGCTCGGAACTGGACCTCAGTCCCTCCATCGGGTTCTTCTGTGTAGAACACACCAGAAGTGTGTCTGTGCCACCCCACAAAACTGCTGGCTGAGGTGTGAACATCCCCCAACAGCTCACTGGCACTGACTTCAAGAAGCAGCAGAAGGGTGAAGCCTGACACCAGGAGGGTTAGCTCTTCTGCACAGAGTGAGCAACACAGGACAGAACAGCAGCGTTGACCAGAGGGCCGTGGGCTCCCACACTCTGCCAAAAGCAAAGCCGGCCCTCGGCTCCAGGGCACCCCGGCCATCTGCTCTCACGGCGGAACTGACCCTCCTGAGCTGCTGTTACAAAGAATCTCACTGAAAACTGGTATTTTTTTCTTAATATCTTAGTATGTCAGCCACAGCACAGCCACCTGAGCAGCGCAACTTCCGGCACGCCCAGGCCAGCTGCCCTGCTGCACACGCGTGTCGTGCGGGCTGATTACACTGACTTGCACGTGGGGTTGTTCAGGCGCAAACTGCCACAAACTAAGGAAGGAGCAGGTGCAGAGATGCTGTGGCCGTGGTGGGCCAGGTGTGCCCTACTCAACGGGCTGGGAGGGCGAGAGGCGGGTGGATGGCTGCTTGGCCCTCGGGGGAAGGCAGAGAGGCTCCCTCCCACCTAGAGACCCCGCTGCAGCCTCGAACAGGGCAACAATGGGCTCCCAAGGTGAAGACCAGTCGAGCTACCCTCTGCAGAAAGTCCCCTCTACAGCGGCTTCGCCTGCTCCTGCGTGAGCCCAGACTGAGACGGACACAGCCATGCCCAGGGAGCACTACCACACAGCACCTGCAGGCCCCGCTGGTCAACAGAGTCAGGACTGGACTGGGAAGGGTCTGTGAAAAAAGTGGGGTCCACTGCAGTTTCAGGCCACCCAGGGGGAGCTGTCCTCAGGGATGAGAGCACAGCACACATGGCAGGAACGCACATCCCAGCCTTGGGAGGGACCCTGAAGATTGAGCAGGTAGACCCCTCTCTCGGCACTCTGTCAGGCTGTCATGATGGCAGAGGGACGAAGAGAGGTCAGGCACTCCCCCGCAAGACCAGTTATCACTTCTACTTAACTGGAAGATGGGCACACAACTAAACATAAGGGTGGCTCAGGCAAACATTCCAGAACACCCAAGAAGCTCTATCGTGTTTTCAACCACAGAATTTACAAATACTACTGCCGTTTCGACGTTTCTGACCATCCACTGTTCTGGAAAAAGTAGTCTTAACATGACAAACTGGAAAACTTCTGATCTCTGCTTTGATTTCTCTGAACCGTCACAGATTCTACCATGACTCAGGCCAGAGCTCATGCCTGTCAGGGCACTTCCGTGTGGGAGGAGCCTTCCTCCAGTGGCATGCACACTGGCACATCCGGCTGACACGCAACTGCAAGTGGGCTGTCCTAAAAGCGCGCGAGCCGCCTGAGCGCCAGCTCCTCAGACAGACCCTGCAGAAGGCGTCAGAGAGGCCCGGAGCCCGCCGTCCACTCAGCTGTGCTTACGTCTGGACGTACCTTGCACACGACCTCTATGCCACAGGAATTGTCTCCATGGCTCTGTGCCCCGATCTTCTCCACTCTGCTGATCACTCCAAGGGGAACATCCAGGATGAAATGAGGATCCTAGGGTTGCAGAGTCACAGACACACACACCGGCGTCAGCGCACACGGCTGACAGACGCGAAGTCTGCACGAGGCGAACAGCCATTTGTTTACCCTCCGGCATGGCTTCAGAAGCATGGCACCATCTCGAGCACTCACCCGCTCTACGTTTTTGAAGTACATCTTGAAGTCCGTCACCGTCAGTGTCCCACTCACTGCTCCCATGAATGGGCAGATGTACATGACGTCCTTCACTGCAACACAAGCAATAGAAACGGCGCTGCTGCCGCAGACCTGCCGTCCACGCCATCACCTGGCGGAGCCCCCAGAGGCACAGCGTGATCTGAGTTTGCTAGGAACTGTAAATGTGCTGTTGTCTTAAAAACAGACCCAGATGGATAGTTTTCTAATACAATTCCAGATTTTAAAACAAATTTCTGATCTGTTACGTAATGAGGTATTATGTAAAGGGCCCCATCATAAGCTGCAACTGCCATTTTGTTCAGGCGGCTAACATTTCTCCTGAATGATGAGTTAATCATCCTCAAAAAGCCATGCCTTAAAGTCTGAAAGCCTGCCACTGAAAAGTGACTCGGCCCTAAGCACTGGCACTCACAGTCCCTAGGCAAGGGCCGTGCAGAGGCCAACCTGAGAACCACCTCAGCGAAGCGCAAAAGCCTTCTTTACTCGAACTCCTTAGCAGCCTCCCTGCCACTTTTCATTTTCTGGCTGAGAACCTCACCACCGCCATCTTTGACACCGGCGTCCACGGCATAGGTGTCTCCCTCTGGGAGTTAAGAAGCTCGCACCTACCCCCAAGCTGCAATGCGCCCCAGCCTCGCCAAGGACCACGCCAGCAGGCCTGCAGGCAACACACGCCTGTACAGTCCTGTCCCACCACCCCAATGCTCAAGACTCTCCCTTTCTACTTCCCTATCGCACCCGGTGTCCAAGCAGCTTCCGCAGCCAGAGTCCTGGGTAGGTGGATGCAGGGCCGGTCTGCAAGCAGCCTGTGACCTGACAGGCCTGCGAGAGGCAGCACACAGGGCATCCCCACTGCTCTAGAGCCTAGTCAGCGCTGTCGTGTGCCGAGAAAAGCGGCCGCTCAGGAAAGTGGCCACTTAACTCAGCAGGAAATGGGAGCTGGGCAGGGAAGGAGGGAAAGATGGAAGGAGAGCAGCGGTGGTAGGTGAGTGTAGCTAGGTCAAAGGCCACAGGAGGACAACCGGGCAGGAAGCGAAAGACTTGTTCATGAATGTTCGAGCAGTTTTATTACTCAGAGGCAAACAGACACAACCCAGACGGCCATCAACAGATGAGCACAAAAGCAAATGGCGCAGCCACCCAAAGGGGAGGCTGAGGGCCGTGCCACAGGGTGGGGCCGGCAGCCCAATGCATGCTGAGAGGAAGCAGCTAGGCACACCCAGCAATTACATCAGCTAGTCTCTAGTGCTTGGGGGCCGGGGGGAGGCACAGGAGGACAGGCACGATGAAGAGGAAGGAGGTGGGTGCCAGATATGACCGGGATGACAACAGCCTGGTGGGCGATGCGTCTGGATTCTTTGCGCTATGCGCGCGCAGTCTGCACAGCCCACCATCTGGAGCAGCCGCAGAGGCGGGGCATGCTCAGCCCTGCCACGGCAACAGCTCTTCTGAAAGCATCACAGACAGGGCCACAATTCCTGGAGAAGGGCCGGAGGGCCACCAGGAATGAATGAAGTTCCAGAAGCCAAAGCCAGAGCTCTAAACCCAGGTGGGGAGAAGCGAGGAGCCCCGCCTGGGGCTGTCAGTGGGAGGCACGCCGGCTGGCCAGTAGGCGAGTGCAGAAGACACCAGCGTCCCTGACACGGAGACCGAGACACATCCACGGGGAGCCAGGATGGAAGGCCGTGGCACTCGGCCTAGCCCACCAAACCCGCCAGCAAGGTGGCAACTGAATCGAAAAGGCCGGGAAGCTGCCCCTCCACCCCCGCCCCAGGCACGTCTACCTGCTGGAAACGTTTGCCTGGCTTAGGGAGGCTGTGGCCGCCAGGCTATGACCTGTCAACCCAGGGTGACAACACATGCTCTCTTCTTGCACTACAATTACACTCCTAGGAGCTTAAACTCCACAATAATTCCTTGGGCAAATTCTCAGAACTGTCATTAAAACGTGATGTGGCTCACTGCGGGACACATTTCCTTTCTAGTGAAGGGTTCCAGTCTTAATGGAGTGACGTTACAACTTGCGGCTTATCCAGTTCATCAGAAAAAGCTGGGTCCTGCTGGTAATGCCACCCACCACTCAGCTGGAGCTCCAAGCGACCCTCCATCGCTTCCAGCTGTTAGGATGATGACATTCACAGAGTAAGCAGACCTAGTCCGTCCACGCCTGGCTAAATTAGCTGGGCTGGTCTCTAGCATACACTTCACCTGTGCTTGCAAATGAAGTGCCATTCACTGTCCGGGTCCCTACCAGCTGCGGGAACTTGTCACACTTACCAATGGCCTTGATTGATTCTCCTGGAAAAAGTGGCGCTTCTTCCATCTGTGCCAGCTTATTTCCATCCCTCAGAGCCTGGCAAGAAAACAAACGGGAGTAAGGCTCACTTCCGCCTGCCTGCCTTAGGAAAGGGGGGGCCCCTGTGCTCTTGCTACAAAGCTACAGCAGCGTGCAAAATATAGGCCCCTCCCCTGACAAGACAATCTCAAAGCTCAGCATCACAGGACACCATGCTGAATGTTCTAGCAAACTGTTACACATATTTAAAGTTCACAGTTAGAAAGCATTAATACGGAAATGGCTTGACATGACAGATAGATACTGCAGTCATTACACAGATAGCTATTATGAAGTGTCTCCTAAATCTGGAAACAAGGTCTGAAAAGGTTACCTTCTAGGCATAAAACTAGTACAAATAAATCAACATGCGACGTAGCTGCAGAAACGGGCCAGACTATGAAATAGTGCGGGCATCCCCAAAGTCTAATGAAAGTAGTGTGGAAGGGGGGTCTCAGGCAGTAACATTACTAAGGAAAGCCCTCGACTTCTGTACTACAGTCTTGTGTGCTGTCTGTGCCCACAGCAGAGGAGCAAAAACTTGGCAAAGCACCTTATCTTGTCAGGTGCATCCAACCCAGGCTGTGAGAGTGTGCCTCACCTGGCAGACAGCAGTACTTCAACCATTAAGTGCAGCAGGTGCTCTGATCAAGTTCCTCCCAGCCAACTAGTTCACCCTGCAAGTTGCTAGTGAGTGATTAGCTTTCCTGACCACGATGATATTGGTTACGGGACATCAGGGATGGCCAGGGACCTACATGTCCACATTTCTAAATGTCCCGACTGAAGCTGCAGCTCACTGGCTGGTCTCTTCTGAGCTTGGCTGGACAGCACGGATAACTCAGAGGCGCTGAGGAAGTGGTGTCTACGTCTCCAAAGCCAGGGGAGAGAGCCTGAACTCGGGGCCTCTTCCAAGGTACTGCAACACCGTGAGATGCTGCCATAGAAACTGGTCACTTTCTCCCTGGCATCTCCAATGTGATGTGCCACAAATAAGAGCAAGATGTTCAAAAGCCCAGAAATGTTCAAGCTATGTTTCACAGAGCATTAAATTCCCAAGAGATATAAATAGGCCTTTAAACGGAAAAAGTTTGGGAAATGCTGGGTTGAAGAAAACTGTCGGGCACTTTTAGTGAGACGTCTTTAGTGTCAGTGCACAGTGAGTCTGCCAGAGGGCGCTAGAGCATGCGGTTTTCTCCAGAAAATACCTGCTAGCGTAGGGCGGCCACAGGTGTTCGGTGAAAGCATGGACAATGCTAAACTTTCAGCATAACTTGGTGAAACAAAACATTAAAAACGGATCTCTTTCCTGATTCTAGTCTAAATTATAGAAAATTCAGAATAATTATTTTCCAGTTATAACAGTATGTTGATGTTTCATTAACAGGACTTAGTCAATTAAAAAAACATAGAAAGCCGTTCAATCCACTATACACAGTAGCTTAGTCCAATATTCTAGAGAAGAGGGGACAGTGAAAACACAAGGAGCGAAAGTATGCTCAGCAGCGGTCAGGGTCAGTCTGTCTACAGGGGCCGCCAGAGGGCGCCCTCCACCCTCCTCCAGAGGCATCATGGAAGAACAGATTAGGAGCCATAGCTGCCTTCATGGAAGTCTTTTCATTTAAAACTTCTAGGCCACACTGACACTTTGCAGCCAAAATTTGTGGGGACATTGAGAGCTGCTAAAGGGGATGTGGAGAAGCAACTGAGGATTCATTTATATACTCACACCTGACTTGGAAATATATTTTTTACACAGTAAAGTATAAACCAGTAGCTATACTTTTGAATGGCTAGTTTGAGAAACACTAAAAATAGCACCAAACTTAATATTAGTCTTCGTTTGAGTGTCTGCTTTCTTTATTACCCAAACGAGTGACTAAGTGTATGATAAAGTTAGCTACCAAGCGAAAAGCCTACTTCAATTAATATCCAAGTTTTAAAGTACTTCCAATGTGACATTAGCAGTGCTTATTTTAATGGCTAACTATGATCACCTATTACATAAACTTCAATTCCTCAACTGACACTTAAACAGCAACAGGTTCTTTCAGCATCTAGTTACTAACGCAACAGCTGGTAAGCTGAGCAGCGGAACCTGGGAGTGGTGGGAGGGAACTTCCAGCCACTCTCGTGCTGTACATCCCAACCCAGACTCAGTGGGTAACGGCTGAGTAGGGGGCCTTGAGGTGAACAAGATAAAGGCTGAAGATGAAACACTTCTCTCCTTCTGACAGTCCTGTTAAATGTGGCCTGAAACACCTTGCTTTTACATGACTGGGGGGGGGCAAGTGGGGGGGACAACTCTCTACCGGTAATCACTAAATCTGAGCTATGCTTTATAAGAGAGGAGAAAGCAACTATCAGAAGAAAACAGAAATGCTCCCACTGTTCTGCATCCCCCACAAAAAGTTTATTTTGCACAGGAAACATTTAGCTTCAGCACAGGAATTCAAGAGAATAGTTTCTGAAGGCTCACTGTGTGAGTACAGTACATTTCCTTCGTAAAGCTGGCACTAGGAGATGGGGCTGAAGCTTTGACTGCAACTGCCAAGTTGCACCGGACATGATTTGACGCTTGATTTATCCAACCATGTGCTGCATAGTCAGAGCATGGAGTGTCTGTGTGGACAAGTCTGATCAGGTGAGCACACTCACTCCTCTCAGCTCTGAGTGTTGTCCACTTGAGACAGCTCTCAGCTGCTCCCCTCTAGACCCGTTCCAATGACCATGAAGGGCCAAGCTGAAGGCCCTCCGGCTGCCTGGGTCTGTGCCCGAGGGCCCGGGCCCACCAGGATGGCCCTGTTTTTTTTTCCAGGACTTTGCCCCCCCATCCTGACCCTCGGTGGCAGAATGGACAATTTCTGTGTTGGCCACATGCCAAGAGTAGGGGCTTTCAAATCGGGTCGTCAAAGTGCTTCCATCCAGAGTCCCCAGTGGAGGGTGGAGCTGAGTCAACGCCTCTTGCCGGCCTCCTCTGGAGCTCTGCCCCCGGCAGTTTCACACCTGGAGTTTCTACATAAGCTGGGGGAATGTTCTGCAGCTTTAAAGACTCCAGAGGACCTAGCAGTACTGAGCAAAGAGAATGTGCTCAGGGAGAACTTGTGTTTCTTCTAATTAATAAATATGAAATAAAGGGACTCGTTCCACAAAAACCTACAAGCCACCAGGTATGGTGCTGGGCATGGACCACACAAATGTGAAGAACCAAGTCCTCACCTCTAGGGACACCCCAGGCACCTGCACCGTTACGTCTTTTAAAGGTGCTTCAGGAACCCAGTCATGCCAGAGGAGGCTGGCTAACCTCATCAACAGCCCTTTCTGGGAAAGCTGAGGAGCGAATTTCTGCTTAACAAAATGTTGGATAAACCAATTCTTGCAAATAATGTCATAATGGAAGCTACCGAACTTGGACAGGAGGGCACTACTGTCGTGGTAAGAGCAGTTGGAAGTTTTGCTTGTCGCCTAGAGAGCTAGTGTGAAATGGCTTCTAAACACACGATCTGCAGCTGCAAACATGAACACGTAGAACTTGCCACCTGATCGGCTTCGGCTTCAGAAGGGCAGCCACTGTGCTCTTCCTGAGTCTCCTGCACAGCGCCAGGTGCATGGACAAGAAAAGGCAAAGAGGAGAAAGAGAAACACGTGCAAACAGACAGGTGAAAGGACAGCAGTTCTTTTTTTAAAGAGACAGTAAGCATATAAAAGTCGACACACCTTTCCCAGCTCGGCAAGTCTCCACAACCCCCCGGCCCGCCCCGGCCCGCCCCGGCCCGGGCCCTACTGGAGTAGAGGAAATAACGTGCAGGTGCCTAGAACGTACTGGGCTGGGACTGGGCCTCTGCTGGCTTTGTGGGGAGGTAGAACTATGAGAGGCAAACAAACATCATGGATTTCAAAGAACACAGTCTTTTTTTAGAACCAAACAATACTATATTTACAGCAAAGAAAAAAATCAGACACACAATATGCTGCTCACAGAAAATAAAGCACGGCACGGACACCAGGGAAGGGGCCAAACCACGCCAGAGGACAAAGGCAGCCCGCAGGCACGCATGCACAAGAGAGCTGCACCGCCCTGGCACCGACAAGACGCCCAGACACATGCTCGCGCACGTGCCATGAGCCGGGGGCCCACGAACATAACCCGTTACTTGTGACGTGTGAACAGATACCAGACAGAGTACTTCTAACTACAGCACAGCGTGCTTCAAACAGCTAGAAAGCCAACTGTCTTTAAGACTTTCCTTTAAAGGAAAACTGTTATGTTCTTAATCTCCTCATAGAACCATTATTTTTTTTAAACTTAAAAAATTGGACTTCTTGGTCGCTGGGGATCTAAGGAATATGACGATGACGATCAAAGTTTCTAGCCTCCCTGAAAGGTTGTTTCAAGTCTTTGATGCTGAAAGTATCAAAATTTAGCATGAATAAATTTTCCTTCACCAAACTTTGGTTCCCAAAACTGTATTTCCCCAAAGGCAACAAGTGAGAGGGAGTGAAGGTGTCACAGGGTCATCACTTCCACAAAAGGACAAAGCCACTCGACACATGCCGTCCTGCAGAATGCAATCAGAACAGTCCGTGCTGCTGCTCCTCAGAGCAGTGCAACTTTTTAATGCAGCCAGTTTCTTGAAATTTCCGCTTTTTCAAAATACAAATAGAACGTTCTCATTCTTTGCAAAATTCTTAGAAACAGAAAAGTGAACGAGGAACAGCAAGAAGCGCCCGCTATTCCCAAGCCCATGCACAAGTCTGAAGCCGCACATGGATGTGGAGCTGTGAGTCAGGGAAAGCAAGTGCCCCGGGAGCAGAAGAAGGAAGGGCAGACAAGGACAAACCAACCAAATACCAAGCTTCTGGCTTAACCTGCTGGTTCCTGTACGACTCACTGGCTTCAGTAAGACTGAACATGCTACATCGAAGTCATTAAAGTTACTGTCAAAATCCACACTGCTCATTCACTGGAAATAGGTTAGTTTTCGACGCCTGAGACTCAGGTTTCAACACATGCACATTACCAATCTCTGTCTTGCTTTATGAATACTCTGAAATAAAGGGAGGGAAAGTCGTGAGGAAAGGGCAAGCTATGATTCCCCAGCTGTGACAAGTACATCTGCGTCTTAGAAGGATGAAGTGGGGCTGATTCCACTAAATGTAGCTGCAATTCATTTATCCCCTTGGATTCATACAAACACAAAGGTGGCCTAAATCTTCTCAGGTAGAGTGGCCCTCATCTAAGCACTTAACGACTGCGGCTGCTACAGTCTTCAGTGCGCGGTACCGGCAGGCAAGGTTCCGAGAACTCTGGGGCCTGTCACGAACAGCCTCTGGGCCCAGTCTCCGCATACAGCAAAGGACAAAGTCAGAGCAGCGCCGGCGAGCGTGCAGCCGTCCCACACAGTGGCTAGTACTGCACACATGTCGTGACAGATGAAGCATTTCTAGTGAACACTTAAAGCTTTGACACGGCAGAGCAAACTGATCTGAGTGGCTCGTAAAAACCAGGGGCAAGTAAAGAACACCGAACAGACTAAGTGTTCCAGAAAGCACAGAGACACACGAGCAGGAGGCCCATTTGCCGACAGCCAACATCCTTACCCTGATATCAGGCCTCCTGAAAACCTGTTAGTTAAAATACAAAAAAACATCATCATGGACACGTGGCTACCGTCCTGTGAGAGAGGGCGCTCCACTCACCAGCCCATTCATTCCCTCCTCTGCCAAACGGAACGAGCACATCAGTCCTAGCACATTTGCCTTCAACGTTTTAGTCCAATCCTAACACATTTGCCCACAGTTTTCTGGCAGTCTGTATTTTGGGGACACTCGCCACCCTCAGGCTGAAACCAGTGCACTACTGTGAGCCCTCTGCTGAGCGCCACACCTGAATGTTTCACACACAGGGCCTGAAACATTCCCTGTGTCAGTTGGGAGTTCCGGCTGCAGTCCCCATGGAAACAATAGCACAGAAAGGCGGCTCTGCTCCCACAGAAACAAAACCAAATCCGCAAAAGCCCCAACATTTGACCCGGAGCAGTTTGGTTACAACGTTAATGGGGTCATAAAATCCAGTAAGCTACAAATCTTTTCCTGGTTTGTACTGAAATTATATTTCCAGTCATTCTTGGGACTCCAGAATTCAACTCCCTGCTGTGGTGGCCCAGAGAGAGCTGGATGTGTGCCCCTTACCCAGCACCTACTGCCCCGAGGGACAGCTCCCAGTGGGAAAGGCACCCGGTCCTGGAAGGAAGCCAGGGGGAACAGCCCCTGCCCTGCAGCTGCTGGCCGTGCCAGGAGCAGCTTTCTTACTCTGGAGCCCTGCTCGGTGCCATCACCCGAATCTCCACTACCCCTGACTCTGCACAGTGGTGCATTCAGGAGCACATTCAGAGGCAGCCCTCAGAATGCCCTGGGCATTGGAAAAGCCAATGGTGGAGACAGAGGACTGCAGGTGTCTCTGGTCCCCATTCCCAAATCTGAAAGCCAATCATCTCACCACTAGAAGTTTTATGGAAACAGATCATCCAAGGTTCTTATTAGCTTTTTTAAGTTTTACTCAGGATAAAGAGCACAGGATACAGGCTTCAAAAAACAGTACTGTAGCATCATCAAAAAAAAATCCGAAATAACATGTGGATTGTATCATTCATTAATTACATCTCAAGAAAGCCAGTAGAAAAATCAACAAAACACATGCATATGCTGATAAAAAAACAAAAAACAAAAACAAACAAACAAACAAAACTCAAAACGGGTCTCATATGCTAATAAAAACACAAAACTGTAGTCTCCTTCCAGAGATGCACCGCCTGGTTAGAGGCACACCAGGCCAGCCCAACGTCCCTTCAGCAGAGAGGGGCCCCGCACAGCTTGAATGGGGTCACATTTCTGCTCCTCCACTTGCCAATAGTAAACACTTCTTTAAAATGATAAGAAAATAGGTCTGGCTTTTCAGAGCCTCGTACCCAGTTTAGGCTGCTCCCAAGCCCGGGGGAGCATACGGAAGCCTTCCCCACGGGCTGCCCTCACTCCCCTCCAGAGTCCTACCGAAGTGCTGTGTGGAGCCTCCAGAATTGAGTCACTGGAATGGCTAAACAGTGCGGGGTTCTAGTTTCTCCTTCGCGTCACCATGTTTGAAGAAGAGCTCTAGTAGCCATGTGTACAGTTATTAGAGTAGGGGAGTAGGAGGGGTAGCAGAAGAACGGATGTGAGGATGGGCAGGGACTGTAGAGCCAGAGGGAGGAGGGCGACCATATCAAGGCTAATTAAGACAAAAAAGAATGCCCTACTTTCCTGAAGACTGGCCAGAATCAAATCCTTTCAGAAAAAAACAGAATGGAAGGATATTCTGGAAAGAAAGCGATTTAGAGTTGTATGCGCCACTCCAGACTCTCCTCTCCTCACAGAGAGGGCTTCTGTCGGGGCGGGGCTCAAGGCGCGAGGTACTCGCCTCGCCAGCGCCCTGGTAGCCTAGTTCCACTTTCCAAACAATGGAAACTGTCACCCGTCCTTGGTACTAAGAGTTCCTGTAAGCTTCCGTTACAACTTGTAGCTCCAGTTCTCTCTAATCTATGGCACATTACATTCAGATCTTCTTACCATTTTTGACAAGTTCAAGGGGGAGATGATTGGTCTGTGTTAGCCTGACACAAATAAAAGCGAGTTGGTAGTAGGAGAGGGACAAAGCACATCTCTTTCTTACATTTCCTCTAACAGTCTTAACCACCAGGCAAATCTCCAGCTGCCTCGGCATCAAAGCCCTGCAGTTCACCCTAACAGCTACCTACTCTCTCAGCTGGGCCAGTGTTTTCCAAACTTCTTCAGTTGGCGAACCACACTGCAAGGTGTTTGACGGCCTAAGTGCGACCAGGGCTGGGCTAATCGGCTGGTTTCGCCTCCTACTCACTTAAAGGCCCTCCTTTTGCATACTTTGCCAGACTCTACGTCGCAACCTCCATTAAATCCCAAGTTTGAAGTATTAGTTGTTCACATATGCATTCAAATAACCACAAAACTGTCAAAACTTGCCCGTGGCATCTAAACTCACCTCAGGTGATACCAGTGACATTGTTCCCCCTCTTGGGATTAACAGCTGACTGTCCATTCTTTGAAGATATGCTTGAATAATAAAATTGGCCCCCAAATCGGCCCTCCCTAGTGGCGCAGTGGGTTAAAGCACTACACTAAGAAGCTGAAACCACTTCCGCA